AAAAAGAAAAAGGTGAGGGGAGGAAAAAAGGAAGGGGAAATGACAGCTTTCCAGTGAGGAGGGATAGGATAGATAGCACCAATGATTCCCACAGCTGTCTTCCAACTTACGCTGGAGGAATCCCCTTCTATCTTGAGAGTCCTAAGGCTATAGAAACACTTGGAGGTATTCCCACACATGAGAAAACAAACAAACAAACAAACAAAACCACACCAAAAAAAAAAAAAACTCAGACAAACAAAAAACCTTCAACTAGTACCCAGGAATGCTCACCTTACCTATCAGGCCAACTAAAAGACTCAGCAGCCCATCTCCCCCTTGAAATGGCAGGCCATTTCTTCACTAAGGAACTTCTCATTCTCATTCTACCTAGCCCTTCAGAATTACTAAACTGTGAACAGAGAAGTCACTCAGTAACTTTATATAATCCAATGGGGGGGATCTTTAACAAAACAAATCCTAGTTTATAATGAAGAACATTGTTAACTTACTATATAGCCTTTTAAAAACTAAGGGTGTCTCTCTGGGAAAAGAGTGCTAAAGAAATTCGGGTACTGAAAAGGATTTCTAAATGGAAATGGCTTTATGTATGAGAAAAATGTTCTTGCTAGTTAAGTCCTTAGTCTTTAGACACAGAATTACGGCAGCCACTGTTATAAAGTGGAAACAATACACTTTGGTAGCTTGAAATTCACATCTAGTCACAAACATGCAATGCACAATGACCTAAAACCAATTCACTGTCTCTGGAGAGACCACTAAGAAGATTCTTGGTATAGGAACAAGCACGAGCTATCCAATCTCCATTAGGATGTAAAGGGTATGATTTTGCTCACCAGCAAGGGACACCAAAAATAGAGAAATGCAGTAACCCTCAGCAGTAGCTTTTTAATCCTTATTTGTTCATGTCCTGGATGCTCCTTATGTTTCTACAACTTGCTCATATCACTATCACATACAAAGTTCAGACATTTTTCCTCTTCCTTTCTCGTGCCTTTTTCCTAGCTAGACTGAGCACATATTGTCAAGAACTCCTTAGTATTCTAAACCATAAGCAAAACTAAAACAATTTTCTCCTTTGGTAGAGTTGGTAAAGATTTTAGTAATAGCACAGACTTTAAACAATTCTGCTTCACTTCCTGGCTTACTGCTGTTAGGAAATCTCAAAGGGAGCTGGATACATTAACCCCTATGCCGATGCGCTTGTGTAACATTGTGAAACTAGATTGGGTGGAATGGTGGGGATCCTGGTTTCAGATCCTTTGGGTCTAAAACAGATTCTTACCAGCTTCTTTTGATGACTGTTGAGCTCAAACCCACTTACCTCTCCTGCCAGGAGGAGTCAGTCAGGGTACATGAAGCTCAACTCTTGATGGCTTCATACTACCATCCGTTTTCTACTTTTTGCTTTTCAAAACGTTGTTCTTATGGATACCCCTAACTCAAATTTTAATTCTTTAGTTTCTATTCTATCATTCTCAAGCACCTCTCCAAATCCTGAGAAATTTTCTTTTGTTTTGGTAGTTTATGAGTCTATAGCATTTCTGAAATTGAGAACCCATAATATAAAGGAAAAAATGTCCTTCATACATGATTAGGTATGCTCAAAGGGTACAGAAATTAGAAGTAAATGCAATGGAGCAAAAGTGGTATATTAACAGGAAATATTTAATTTTCCAATTTCCACTTTCCATCTTTATAAACTGAAAGAAAAAATTTAATATATTACAAAATATCTGTACATAGACAAGGTACACCCAATGGGGGCCAAAATGAAGAGAGAGAAAGGAATACAGTGTCAGGAACCTATAAATCAGGGAGAATGAGGTGGCAACTGACACTTTTCCAATGCACCATTCTCTCTCAAAACCTGCTGGTAACCAGTTAAACACTGTACCTATATATGCATTACACAAACACACACACACAGTGATGATTATGACATAAACTAACAAAAGTCCTACATACAAACTTGTGCTAACTGCTCTTTTGTCGTTTGTGAATCCTTATCCCTACAGACAGATGAAAAAACTAAGGAAACTGGATTAAGCAAATAGGCTTTTAAAAACCGCACACAAAAAATGATCATGGTCAAGCCAGTTTTGCCTCTTATTCATAAACAGAAAATAGATTTCTCATCTGTTCAAACTAATTTATTTAATGACACAATAGTTAAAACCCAAACCACTGTTGGATGGAATTAACTAAGTTTCTACTGTTCAAACAGTTGGGTTGAAAATTAAGCCAAATTTTTACTTCCATTATGTTTATAGATAATGTAGATGAAAAATGACCAAATACCTTTCTTCCTCCACATATATTTCAGGTTATTTAAATGAGTTACTTTCCTCTGCTTTCAGAAGTAGTCAAAATTATTACAAAAATACTTTTTTAAAAGCAAGACTCCCAAAATGGGGTGGGGATGAAATGGGCTCATACATATTTATACACACATTCACATACACTCACCCCCTTCCCTAGTCGGGATGGGGGAATGGAAGCTTATGTAAATTAGACTATTTGGCATAATTAAAAATATAGTGTGACAGAGGGGAAGGGAAAACATTATTGATGACTGCCCATAACCAAAATACAATGAAAATATATAGAGAAATTTATTCATATGATGGGAAAACAATTTTTTTCACTGAACAGATACTTATGAATGTATCCCCGCTCAGTTTCTTTAATCAAAAATATGGGACTAGAGCCCAATACCTTACAATAAAATATCCTAAAATAAGGCCCATGTCTGAGGACTAACTAGTAGCAGACTGAAGGTACACATAAACTTTAATGCAATCTATGGATTCTCAGTGTGCCTAGAATATCTAATTGGACATCCTGGCATAAAAAAAGCTATCAAAGCCAAATGGCTAGAAGGTTCACTTCCTATTAGTGTTTGGCCTTATGGCAAAGCCAGACAAAAACCCAGAAAATAAAGAAATATACACACTGGTATCTATTTCAGTAACAGGGGAAAATAATTTTTATGTAGCTGAAGAGGGTTCTTCTTTCACCTCTTTAAATTTTTAAAAAATTAATACACCTTTCTAAATATATTTTTTAACTTAAGAACTTGGTATTTAAACATGAAATTTCACTCAATTTCTGAAAACTATTCTCCAAGATGCTCAAGTATGTTTGCTTTTCTTTGTAAAAGGGAGCTTAACCTACATTTCACAAGTCTGTGGAGATCAATATATGACATATATATACTTTTAAAATACTCCAGATGCTGATAATCAGAAATGGAAGCCTTAATGAGGAGCCTCTCAAGTTACCTCACTCTGAGATCCTCTCTTCCACTTCCTGTTTTGATAAGGCAAAGTCCTTGGGAAATCATACTTTAAACCCTTTACCACAATCAAAATGATTCCTATAAGAAATGGCAGACTATACATGCTGCAATGTATGCTTATCAATACTGTTCTTTCCCATGGTAAGCTGCTTAATTTTTTCTTTGACGGTATCAGGGGTTGATATATCTTCAGATATACACCCTAAGCTAGGTTACATGTCCATGTATTTTCAGGATTTTCCTCTGACAATATCACAAGGCTCTGTTTGAAAGGCTTTTTTCCTCAAACATAAAAATATACACGTAAACAAAATGCTTATTGATCTTATTACCCCTCTAGGTATGTAGGTACCATCTCTAATTACAGCTCAGCAGCAATGTCCTATCATTTACAAATCAGCTTCCCCATCAGAACTGGCTTAAAAATTTTTTTTTAGAATTGAAGAGTTACAGAGAACAATGTGGGAGTTTAAATTTCCTTTCTTTTATTTAAAAAAAAAAAAGAATTTTTCCAGGTTCTTGGGCATCTTTACTGTATTTTCTTCCAAACAAATGCCTCAAAAAGATATAGGAATAGGGGCAGACACACAGAGGAAAGAAAAAGACAGGGACAAAAAGGAGAGGAGTAGGAGAATGAAAAAGCAAACAAGCAAAAAGCAAAGATTGGGTAAAACCTACCTACTTGCCCAAGAATGCCACTTTCTACAGCCTGCTTTATGTGCAGGAAGAGGGATAAACTTTTGTCAAAATTGAGTAAACTTAAGGATGAGTAATTTATTTGGAAAATGTATGTACAAGATGCTTAACATAGGTAAGGGGAGTGCTCACTGAAGTAAAAATGTGAGATGGTAGAGAGGAAGGGAATATTTAAGCCACTGTTTCCCTTCTAGTAAAACCCTAAGAGGAGCTCAGATCTTGTGAACACTATTGTCTTTAAAGGAGGATGGGGAACTAAATAAAAATTCAAAAGAAACCACACACAAACACACTCATGTGCGCACTCGTGCGCACACACACAGAAAACAAAACAAACAAACAAAAACTTAAAAAACCAAAGCCTCTTCAGAGCCATCTCAAAACAAAACTGTTCTCTTCTGCTCAAGTGCGGGCAATAAGCTACTTTTCAACCGAATGTCTCTTTTTCTCCATGTTTTTTTTTTTTCTATCGCTCCTACATAAAGCAGAAGTAAATATTCTGGCTATTGCCCATCCAGGAGGAACTGGTGCCAACATTGTTGAGTCGCCTGCTAGTAGCAAATGAGCAAGGAAAACAACGGACAGCGCGTTGCAGTAGCCAAATGCAGATGATTACCTTGCTCTGGCAAGTGATTTCATTAAAGGTTCAGAGGACTAGATGTAAAGATTGATAGGGAAGGAATCTTTCAGGGCATTGATGTCTCTGGGTTAATAAGGAACTCCTCTCCCTCTTCCCCCTCGTGGAGGGACTCTTGCAGCCCCCCGGTAGAGTTTTCCATAAGCAGAAGACTGAGTTGGGCCCCCCCACTGAAGAGTTGTTCCTGAGCTGTTGGCCCCAGTGGCTCCTGGTCCCAGCTCCCCATAGTTTTGCAATTTGGTCTCTGCATGTACAACAGAGTTGCTATTTCCCTCAGATTTCAGGAATGGTTGCCCAACCACAGAGTGTAATGCTAAGGGAACCCTAGCAAAACGAAGGTCCTGATCCCCTGGGAACTGCACTGACCCTGTGCCCTGGTAACTGTTGGACTCCCCAAGGTGGCTCACAGAGCCTGAGAAGGTCCTATTCTTCACCAGGGTCTGGACCAAAGATTCTGTCAAGGCTGGACCAGAACTGCGTTCATCAGTGTCAGTGGTACTGAACCCTGCTTCAGGCCCATCAGTATTTCCGTAAGTCCTGTTGGGATGGGATCGGGTGGAGTACTCCATTGGTCTCAAGGCCTGGTGCTCATGTGGCAGGTGGCCAGGAGGCTCTGCTTCAGGCTGGGATAAAAGTTGCAGCAAGGCGGCTGTCACGGCGGGATTCAACTCCTGGGGGGCGCTGGAAAGATCGCCTTCAATCAGAGGGGGTGGAGGTGGCGGCGGTGGAGGTCCAGGGGGCTCAGGGGGCCTCTTCTCTGGTGGAAGAATGTGAGGAGGACATGCTGTGGAAGGGTTACTTCTTTTAAACACCATCTTAAAAATCACATGTGATTATAAACACAAACACATACTACCCAACACAAATAAATACCAATACAAGTAACCAGATACATTAAATAAAACCTTGGGATCAGGAAACTGAAATTTATAAATAAAATAATCAAGTGATTAGAAGTAAAAGAGTTGCACTCTGGACCTAACAGCTGGTATAAAAAGATGTTATGTTTCAAATGATTGTCCTAAATTTTTCTGTTTGAGCTTTCCTTCCTTAAAGAATTGTTCTAATATGTAGATTGTTAGCAACCTCTCCATCCCTTCTGCTATTAGATCAAAATATTATTGAAATGAAGCAGAAAGAAGATGAGAAGGAACAATATGCATTCTTTGGTCACATTTCTAGCACATAATCTTTCTGTACAACTTGCAGACCTGGCTAACATAGTTACACAATGTTTGATGATATTAAGATTAACCTGAAATACAACTTAAAATATACAGGAGAGATGCAATCAAGAAAAAAACTCAACATGTATAAAAAGTCATTTTGCTTCTCCAAACGTTTAGTCAGCCATTTCTCCCCATAACCATTTCTTCAAGTTGGATATTAACCAACTACACTGTTAATCAGTTTCCCGAATATCTAATAATTGTAAAACCAAAGTAATTCTATTGTAATTTTCTATTTTTGTTTTCTTACCTTATTCATGTTTTTTTATGCTACAAAAGAGAAAAAACACTCTAGCAGTGTCATGCAAAACACATTTGATAAAAATGTGTTCATCCTGTGTTAAGAATTTAATATTCAGGAATATGCTGAACTAATACTAAGCTCAATTATTACTAATATCGTTCTTGAACCATTCCCCAGACTTTTGCTTTTTTATTGCTGTCTAAAGTTTCCTTACAATGACTTCTTACCAAAGCAAGAGATGAGAGATACAACAAAATAAGTTTGAGGCCTTAGAAAACTACAAAAACAAAAGCATAGTAAGATTAATGTGTTCAAAGATTGAGAGTCAACCTGCTAAAAAAAGTTTAATGTTTTGGTTTCATCTTCCAAGACTTTTTCTTTTTTCTATAGAAACATTTAAAAACATCTATATGGTCATTCTTCTATTTTTTTAGTGATGCATTATTGTCATTACTTAAGCAAGTCAAAATCAGTTTTTGGTTATAATTTGGTATTTCTGTAGTATGATTATCTTGAGAACACATTGAAAAGAAAATAATAAAGTGTGTACTCCCCAAGTAAGCAGGTGAAAGTACTTTAAAAACAATATACAATTTTAACACTATGGAGTGGAAAATGAGGCCGTGCGCTATATGAAGCAACAAATAAGGTAAAACAGTCTAGAGTTTCTGGAATTGCGGGTACAAGCTGAGCAGGCAAGGGGAGGCAAGGTATCAACTTCCAGTTTTGAACAGAATAATAAACTTTATAATATGTAACTCCAAGTTACTTGTTGTTGAGTACCAGGGAAAAATATATTTAAAATATATTTAAGACAGAAATTTACAATTTGGAGAATAAATAACCTGAAAGAATAGGGTACCTGAAGTATAACCAACCATGTATTATATTTAAGAGCTTTTACTATCAACACTACTTATATCTTTATAAGGATATCCAAGTACCAGTGATATTATAAAAGAAAGAAAAAAGTATTTAGAACCTATTCATGAAATGAAATGTCAAGTTTTTTAATAGTTGAGGGAGGGGAAATATCCCAAACCAACCTTAAAAGGCATGGCTGTAAAAATGGCAGTTTAAGTTTATATTCTTCCAATTACACCAATTTTCATTAAAAGAACTACTAAAGTTAATAAAGCTTCTTAAATAAAACCATAAAAGTATAAATTACAAATCATACTGTCCTCAGATTTAAAGTTTTGATGTTATCAATCTATAATAGTTTCATAATAATGGAGGGAGGTAAATAAATGCAATTTCAACCATGACTCTTTCTTAACAAGTACAGAAAACTAAATTACCAAACTAAGATCATTACCTTTCTTGCTTATACTGTCTGCCCTCTCTCTGGTGGAAGTGCTTAATGAACAGTGAAATGGGCAAGTAAGAGGCACCAGGATGTGGTGGCATGAAGCAGGAGGATCTTAAATTTTGAGGTCAGATTGTGCAACATAACATCCCAGAGATGACTATACAAAATATTTGTACATTTTGATGGATTTTATTTGAGATCAGGTGGTTGGGCCTGGAACTTTCTATGGAGGACTAGGATGGTCTTGAAATCACAGAAATCTACCTGTTTCTGCCTCCTGAGTGCCAGAATAAAAAATGTATAACATCATATAACACATCCACCACTTGTATTCATCCTTAGTTGTGGCATTTTTACTCTCTCCTCTAAAAACCATATCCAATTTCAAGCTATATACTATGACTTATTTTCAGTTCAACTTCATGTGATTGACAGCTTGTTGGCTCTATTATTTGGTGAATATTTTTCTATCAGGATGTTATTTAATTTGACCAAGATCTTTCAGACCCTTTGATTTTTAGTTGAGAAAAAAAAAGTTTTTGGAGGAATGATGGGTAGGATCTGACACACTGAGATTTTAAAAGCCTACTTTAATTCTACACAGCCTTTTAAAATTCTTAATTTAAATATTTATTTTTATACTATGTATGTTTAATCTGCATGTATGTCTATTTGCCATGTGTGTACTTGGTCCCTGTGGAGGGCAGAAGACGGCATCAGATCCTCTGGAACAGGAGATACAGGCGGCTGTGAGCCACTGAATGGGTGTTGGGAATTGAACCCAAGTCCTCTGTACGAGCAGCCAGTGCTTTTAACCTTAGAGCCACCTTCCAGCCCCATTATATAGCCTTTTCTATTACTGTCTTTGAAAACAACTGGAATCATCATAGAGAATAGCAAAGTGATTCAAGACATGTGAGTGTACAAGTTCTAATTTTGTCTGCAAATAATCAGCAGAACACACTTACTTAAATTTCTTATGCTGCAGTTTTCCTATTCACAATACAAAAAGTTAATTTTATTGTCTTTTCAGCTTTAACAATTTTCACATACATAAAAAGCAGGTTATGTATTTGACCTTATACTAGTGAAAATAAAAATATTTTCTGTACCAAACCAGATGAAATGTAAATGCAGGACCCTAAAGTTCAAAGTTAGTATACCTCCCTCTTCAGCCTCTGGGGCTCTTCTTATTCCCCAAAGCACAGGATCTTCAAGGCCAATGAAAATTTCCAAGGAGTTGAAAACATTTTCAGGCAGTAAAATTTTGCAAACAGATTGTGAATCAGAATTGATTAGAGAATTTACAATGCTTTTTCTTCTAATAAACTGCACAACTGTGGTCATGTAACACGAAGTGTAACACACTTTTTTCCCCTTCAGACTTTGTTTTCTTTTAGTAATGCTTACTTCCTGATCCCACTGTTTCTTTCAGAAACACAGACTTAAAAATTATCACTTTTGTATACAATTACTTCTTGGAAAGAAAATGTAAGGTGTTATCTGCTTAGAACAATTCCCCAATTATTTTCAGGAACTGAAATGATATTTTATTAGGACTTTCTTGACTGTATCTTCCAGACAAGATTCTGGTATCCAGGATCCACTTCACTAGATGTAAAGAACAATTTCATGTTTATTTAAAATCAAAATTTTCTAGGACTAGCTAGCTACACCACATACGTAGCTGTTCAAGATACCTCACTATCTATGACTTTGGTTTCTTTGGTTAGAAAACAGGGGCTTTACTTACCCGTACCCTTATGAAGTGGAAAAATGATCAGTATATGAAAGGTGCTTTGAGACTTAAATGAAAAAGCCGGACAAGAAATACATCATTTGGTGCTATGTTCTCCTGTAAACTAGATTACAGAAAACTGAAACTGAGACCAATGATGTAAAAAACAAAACATTAAGAGATTTTTAAGAGGATCAACAGCACCTGAGCTCAATGAGATTCATGACCGGTCTGTTTACCTGCTGGCTCCTCCTGTGGCATTGTAGGAGTTCTTCGGGGCCCCTGTGGCCCACTATTCTTGTCACTGGTGTTTTCCTCCAGGTTACCTGCTGGCTCTTGGGTTTTCATCAGCTGACTCAAGAGAACTGCCAACATATTCTGCATGTCAGCTGGTGTGTTTGAAGCTTCAGGGGTTGTCTGTTCTGCTGAAGGCGGGACTGATACAGAGGGTACCTCCTTCAATGATTCCTCTGGGGCTATGGATTCTGAGTCCTGCTGCTGGGAACTGGCTTCATTCAGTGCACTAATAGATTGATTCAAGGCTTCCAGCTGCTGCTGCATCTCTGGGTTTGAGTGGATATTAAGCAGCTGTGCCATCTGAGGGATGCTCAGGTCAGTTTGGCTCTGTAGCAGGTTTAATAACACTGCCAATTCACTTTGATTCAGCTGCTGTGTGATGTCACCAAGGCCTGTGGAATGAGAGTGGAGCCAATATAAGATGACAAGTTGAAAGGCAAGGCCTCCTGCCTTCTTCGACTGACAAAAGCAATTTATAGTACCCAAAGACACAGTTTCATTTACATAATTTAGTATCTCAGATTACATTACAGTTTATTTTTGACAACTAGGAAGTAGTGGCACTTGCCTTTAATCCCAGTACTTAGGAGGCAGAAGCAGGCATATTTCAATGAGTTTGAGGTCAGCCTGATCTATAAAGCAAGTTCCAGGATAGCCAGGACTGCTACACAGAGAAACCCTGTCTTGAAAAACCAGATAGATAGATAGATGGATGGATGGATGGATGGATGGATGGACGGACGGACGGACAGGTGGGTAGAAAGAATTTTAGGACTTGGATTGGTGAGATAGCACAGTAAGTAAAAGGGACTTGCCACCAAGCATAAAAACTGTATAAAGTCCAGGACCCATATAATGAAGAGAACCAAATCCTACAAGTTGTCCTTTGAACTCTACATACTTTATGTGGCATCTCAGCAAAATAAAAATTAAAACAATAAATAAAATATAAGAACTAACTAAATAAAGCATGTCTGCATTATATACAAAAGTGACTATATCTTATCTGTATCCTTTTAGGTCAATGACTTTCTTTTTTTTTTTTTTTTAAAGATTTATTTATTTATTACATATACGCCAGAAAAGGGCAACAGATTGAATTGCAGATGGTTGTGAGCCACCATGTGGTTGCTGGGGATTGAACTCAGGACCTCTGGAAGAGCGTCAGTGCTCTTAACTTCTGAGTCATCTCTCCAGCCCCAGGTCAGTGACTTTCGACAAAATATTTTATGTAAAAACTGTTAGGACAGATTTAAGAATTCAAGTGCCTAATGTGCCAAATGAGTTGCCTTTTTTTTTTTTAAACAAAAAGAAGAATTTATTTATTATGTATAGAGTACTCCATGTGTGCCTGCAGGCCAGAAGAGGGCACTGGATCTCATTACAGATGATTGTGAGCCACCATGTGGCTGCTGGGAATTGAACTCAGGACCTCGGGAAGAACAGCCAGTGTTCTTACTAACCTCTGAGCCATTTCTCTAGCCCAATTTGACATTTATTTATTCAAAGGTTATTTATCTGCTGTATCCCAAGCTGGCCTCAAAGTTGGTGTGCAGTGATAGATAACCTTGAATTTCTTTTCTTTTTTTCTTTCTTTCTTTCTTTTTTTTTTTTTTTTTTGTTTGTTTTTGAAGACAGTGTTTCTCTGTAGCTGTGGAGCCTGTCCTGGAACTCACTCTGTAGATCAGGCTTGCCTTGAACTCAGATATCTGCCTGCCTCTGCCACCCCTGTGCTGGGACTAAAGGTGCCCACCACCTGGCTATAGATAACCTTGAATTTCTGATTCTCCCGAATCTACCTCCCCAGTGCTGTGTTGCAGTTATTTGCCACCATACTAATCTGAGTGAGGTTATTTATTTTTAAGGTTTTTCTGAATGATTCTAATGTGTACCAAAAGTTGAAAATATCATTGTAATATCAGCTACTTTGAAGGCTGAGGCAAGAAGATCCTAATTTCAAGACCATTGGGTTGACACAGAAGGCAAAATGAAAAAGACCTGTGGGTGGGGGGAAAAAAAAGCTGTGCTATTATAGGAGAAATACTTTGTTATAATGGTTATTTTGACACAGTTTTAGTATAACAGGTCAAGTAATAATCTACCGAACCAATTACATTTAGCAATTCTGATATGACATGACAGGATTCTAAAACCTTTTCAAATCAAACATAAATAACTCTAAATTATTGCTAAAAAGCTACGTCAAATGCTAGAAAGCTGGCTCAGTGGTTTAGAGCATTGGTTGCTTGTTTTTTGTTTGTTTGTATTGGCTGAGTTGCCAATACTCTTAACTGATGAACCATCTCTCTAGCCTCCCATCTATCTTTTTTTTTTTTTTTTTGGTTTTTTTGAGACAGGGTTTCTCTGTATTGTTTTGGAGGCTGTCCTGGAACTAGCTCTTGTAGACTAGGCTGGTCTCGAACTCATAGAGATTTGTCTGCCTCTGCCTACCGAGTGCTGGGTTAAATTAAAGGCGTGTGCCACCACTGCCCAGCAAGAGCATTGGCTGCTTATCCAGAGAACTTGGGTTCAAGTCCCAGCATCCTCATGGCAAGTGACAACTGTCTGTAACTCCAATCCCAGAGTATCTAACAACTGCTTTTAGCTTCTGCAAGTTACAATCACAAACAGTGCACAGATGTACATGATGACAAACACCATATACATAAATAAAATGAGTAACTTTAAAAAAAAGCCACAAACTAACCTTAAATTTTACTTATTTAATTGATTGGTTTTTGTCAAACACAATCTAACAGAGATACAGTATTCCTTATTTCAAGGAATAAAAATTTATTTACTATAGGCAGTAAATAATGTTTATCTTCTCCTGAGAAATGGAGATAACTATCTCTCTCCTAATATTCCATTGGGGAAAAAAAGGGTTATGAACACATGCGTTCTACCCTCAAAATCTACATAAGTGCACTTAATAGAAGTAGAAGGCTCTCAGCACTGACCTACTGCATCCCCAGGAACAGGCTCTGCCTTGACAGGAGCAGGCTGAGGGGGTGCTGGGCTACTGTTCTTCACAGGCTCAGCTGTTGTCCCTGAGGTAGTTTCTTTTCGAGAGGCTTTGGATGGAGGTGGCTCTTCTATTACAATACCACTTTGTCGCTGGCGTCTACGTTTCTTACTCCACAATTCATGACAATCCTGCCAGTGAGGTAGGCTGGAAGAACACAAAACAAAGAAGGAATAAGCAGTGAGTAAACCGAAAAATAATTAATATAGAAAAACAAGGAACACTGGAAATAGAATAAAGAAACATAAAGGTAGAATGCAGTATAAAAAGAATCCTGGCAGGAGGTAGTGTATAGAAGTATTTGGGCAGTAAGAAAAAAAGGACCTTGTTAATAGTAGAAACAACTCCTATATAGTCAAAAACAGTTTGTGTTGGTACAAAATGAATAAAGAGAACTTTATTGGTCAAGTTTCAGCTGGGGCACAGAGATGAACACCTTATAAATAGTTATGAAAGCCTAGGAACAAGTCTAGGAGATGTCTTAGTAGGGTAAAGCTTAACAATTTGGGTTCAAATTTGGAACACATATGGTAGAAAAAGAAAACCAACTCCCACAACTTGCCCTGACCTTTATCATGTAGCTCAGCAAAAGCATGAACACACACGATGAAAAAACAGAAGAGACAGTGTTCTAAATCTTGGAAGTAAAAAAGTGGTGGTGGTGGTACATGCCTTTAGTCCCAGCACTCGGGAGGCAGGTAGATCTCTGAGTTCGAGACCAGCCTGGTCTACAATAGCTAGTTTTGGGACAGACTCTAAGCCACAGAGAAACCCTGTATCGAAAAGACAAAAAACAACAACAAAAAACCCAAAAGTGATGGTGGTGCATGCCTTCAAACCAAGAGCTCAAAATACAGATGGATCTCTGTGAGTTCAAGGTCAACCTGGTCTACACAGTGAGTTCCAGGACAGCCAAGGCTACATAGTCTAGAAAAATAAAACACCCAAAACAAAACAAAACAAAACAAAAAAAAAGGAAAGAAAGAAATCTTGGAACTATATAATCCTATCATATTTAAATCACCAGTATACAAAAAAAATCCAGTGAATTTCCATAATTGGATATCAACTTTTTAATTCATGGAGTTAAGCTGGGCATATCTTTAATCCGAGCAACTAAGAGGCAGAGGAAGGTGAGATCGATTCTGTTAGTGTCAGGCCAGCCTGGTCTACTTAATGAGTTCCAGGCCACACAACAAATGAATAAAACTACATAATAGCCCCCAAATTTCAGTAAAAGGCATACATATAAAAATTCTAACATAAAAAATGAATTTGGATAGATCCTTAGACAAGATAATTTATAGTTAACATCTACTCTTGTACTTATCTAAATCCTCTCTTTTGTTTGTTTGTTTTTTTTTGGAAGACATATTATCCCATGCTAACCTGGAACTCTTGATTCACCTGCAATAGCCTTCCAAGTGCTGGGATTACAAGTATGTATGTGTAAACCACCATATCTGTCCAGTCTTTCAACTGGTAAAAAAATAAATCTGAGGCAAGAGGACCCTAAATTCAAGGCAGCTTAGATAACTCAGTGAGACCATCCCACACCTCAAATAAAACATACAAAATCTCAAAAAGAAACAAAAACCCTAAAAGGGTGGAGAAAGTATTCATTAGTTAAGTGTTTGTGCTGTTCTTGCACAGAACTTGAGTTCAATTCCAGTTCCAGGGAATCTGACACCATCTTCTGGCCCGCACAGGCAACCACTTACATAAGCACATAAAAAAACCCCAGCACAAAGAAGGGGCTTTGGAATGTAGCTCAGTGAAAAGTATTTATCTGACTAAAATGTGTAAGGACCATAGTACTGACATAAACAAACATAAATTTTAGCACAAAAGCTATGAATACTTCCAGTGGTAAGTTCAAAGATAAAGGATGCTGTATGTGCCATAAAGTTGAATGTAGGTACAGAATCATTGAAAATGTTCTAGTGTACATTCTATTCATACAATTGTGATGAAAGAAGGCACCATAGATGGCTAAGGTAGCAAAAGCCCATGGAGCAGAAGGCTCATCACCTGAATTTATCACGGACACACAGACACACACAGAAACACACACACACACACACACAAAGTAAAAAAGAAAAATAAATTGTGAAAGAGATATACCAAACACACACAGACACACAGAAAGTAAAAAATAAAAATAAATTGTAACCAAAGAGATACACCAAAACTATATAGCTACATAAAAAGAATGGCAACAAAGGCAGGTAAATCTGAGTTCAAGGACAGCCTGGTCTACAAAACAAACAAACAAACAAACAAACAAGCAAGCAAACAAACACTACTGACCTGACAATGATGTAAACTAAAATTTGAACTGTTCTTAAAGTATAAAAAATAAATAGTCACAACATAAATGATTAAACCAGAGGAATAGTTAAGAGCAAAAACTACAAGGAATATTTTAAAGACACTGTTTAGTACAATATACACTAGAAATCTAGAAACAAAGAAAAATAGCTTGAATCAGATTAGAAAAATTCACTAAATCTATTCCTGACAATCATTTATAGCTATTTTAATAAGCCTATCTTTTTTCTTTTAAGTTTCTCATTTTCATGGGGCATTGGTGATGCATGCCTTTAATCCCATCACTCAGAAGGTAGAGGCAGATGGTCTACAGAGCCAGTTCCAGGACAGGCTCCAAAGCAATACAGAGAAACCCTGTCTTGAAACAAACAACAAAACAAAACACAAAAGTTTCTCATTATACAGCCACCAATACTTACTCTGGAGGTGCCATTTTACTGAGTTCCACATCCTTAAGGAAGTCACTCTGCAGGGTCTGTTCAGCTGTGCAGCGCTTGCTGGGATCAAGGGTCAGCATGTGGTCTAATAAATCAAGTGCTGCTGAAGGAATGCTATAAAAAGGAACAAAAAAAATCAAAACTTAAAAAACTATTAAAACCAACAATTCTGTTCTCTTTCCTTAGGAAGCTACAAAAGAAAAAAAAAACACAAGAAAAATCCACATATTATTCAAAATAAAATGGTTTTCATTTTTCAAGGCTTTCAAAAGAGAAAATTAGAAATAGGGTCTTAAAGAACAAACTCTTCAAAAATAAAATGTCTAAAACTGAAGAGATGGTTCAGAGGACCCAGATTCAATTTCCAGTGGCAGCTCACACTCTTCCAAACTCCAGTTCTAGGGCATCCAACATCCTCAAATTGTGTATCATGGGCTAGTTTAGGTAGCTATCTGGTAAAGGTGGTGGCGCACGCCTTTAATCCCAGCACTCGGGAGGCAGAGGCAGGCGGATCTCTGTGAGTTCGAGGCTGGGCTGGACCGATAGCCTACAAAACAATACAAACCCTGTCTCGTAAAAACCAAAAACAACAAAAAAAAGGTGTATCTGTTATCAAGCCTTACAACCAATATTATGTCCTTAGGATCCACATGGTCAAAGGACACACACAATACATGAATAAATGAATATGAATATGAATATAAATGGACTTAGTGGAATATATTATTAATCCCAGCATTCTGGAGACTAAGGCAGATGGATCTATAAGGAGTTTGAGGTCAGACTAATCTATGTAGTGTGTTTTAGACCAAGTAAGACTACACATTGAGATCATCTCAGAAAAACAAAACAACTATAAAAATGTAATTGTGGGGAGGCAGGGATGGCTCATTGGTTAAGAGAAGTAACTGCTTTTCCAGAGGACCCAGTTCAATTCTCAACACCCACATGGATGCTCACACTGTCTGTAACTCTAGTTCCAGGTAATCCAACACCCCTGCACAGGTTAAATGCCAATTCACACGAAATAAATAAATAAATAAATAAATAAATAAATAAATAAATAAATAGTCTTTTTAGAGAAGAATGTAATTTAAACGTTTGCTGTAGTAAATTGGGCTTAACAGTAAACAAAAGCTAGAAACAGAAAAGAAATGTAATATGATTGTGTTAAACTCACAAAGAGAATTCTTCTCTTAAACGTCTCCTATATTGCTTCTTCGGTTTCATGGTGTTGAAGTAGGGCAGCTTGATAACATCAGGCCACACTGCTGGACAAGGGCTACCACAGAGACGACTGAAAAGAAAGCAAAAAGCCAAGTGCAATGCAGTTAATCACCAGTATCATGACTTCTAGAGGTTCTTGAAGGAGAAATTATCTTCTGGGATATGGGGAGTCTACAGTTTATTACATTAGGGGGTATTTTTTAAAAAGGTAAAGCATGGCTTACTGCTCTAAGGAGAAGCAATATAAAATAACTGGTTATAAGAAAACATACTGGAGGCCAGGTAGTGGTGGCGCACACCTTTAATACCAGAAGGCAGAGGCAAGGGGATCTCTGTGAGTTCAAGGTCAGCCTGGTCTACAGAGAGAGGACAGCCAGGGCTACACAAAGAAACCCTGTCTGGAAAAACCAAAACCAAAACCAAAAAAAAAAAAAAAGAAGAAGAAGAAGAAGAAGAAATACTGAAAGATAGCAAGAGAAAACCATTGAAAAATATAACCCAAAATGATTTACATATTTACCTATAAAGGTTCTCACCATTTTTATTCTATTCAGTTAGAGTTAATTTCTTTCTTTACTTGAACTACGTCTAGTCTATTATGTAGTCATGGCTTTCCAGGACACATTATGTAAACCAGGATAACCTGCTTCGGGGCTGGATGGCTCAGTGGTTAAGGACACTGGTTGGTCTTCCAGAGGTCCTGAGTTAATTCCCTGCAACCACATGACGGATGGCTCTCAACTATCTGTAATGAGATCTGGTGCCCTCTTCCAGTCTGCAGGAATACATGCAGACAAAACACTTAACAAACAAATCTATATATACGAACCTGCCTCTTCTTCCAAAGGCATGTGCCACTCCACACCTGGCAGAATTAATTTCAAAGAGTAAAAATTTTAAGATGGATCTCTGTGAGTTTTTGCCATTATGGTCTACAGAGTAAGTTCCAGGACAGCCTGAGCTATAGAAATCCTGCTTCTTCTTCTTCTTTTTTTTTTTTTTTTTTTTTGGTTTTTTCGAGACAGGGTTTCGAAACGCCCGGCGAAATCCTGCTTCTTTTGGTTTCTTTTTTAGAAGAATGTTTATAGATAACTGAGCATTTACTATTATTACAATGAGTTTTATGTCACTTTTAAAATACATTTATTTGCTATATTTTCCCATTTATTTTACATGCCTATAATCCCAGGATTTAGGAGGCTAAGGTTAAAGGATTATGAGTTTATGGCCAGTATGCCCTATAAGGAGAGACTCTGCTTCAAAATGAAAAAAATCAAACAAAAATAAACCAAAAGAAAAAGAGCAAGGGAAAGGAACATGGAAAAAGAAAAGCAAAGTATAGCAAGAGAGGCCCAAATTCTATTCTATAAGCATTCCACAAAAAGCCTACGTATGGGTTACATTTTAAAACTGTGATTAGAGAAACAGCTTATTGAGAAAAGGTTCCTTCTGCCAAGCCTGATGATTGGAATTCAACCCTCAAGATTTACATGGTGAAAGGAGCAAGAAAACATGTACTCCACAGAGTTATGTTCTTTGTTTTATGAGACAGGGTTTCTCTGTGTAGCTCTGGTTGTCCTGGAACTCCCTCTGTAACCCAGGCTGCTCTGGAACTCACAGAGATCTGCCTGCCTTTGCCTTACAAACGCTGGGAGTAAAAGAGTGATTACCAAGGCCCAACTACACTTTTCTTGTACTGACCTACACCTAAAGAATAAGGTAGCCATCTGAAAAAAAAATAGCATACTTCTTGTGTGTGTGTATGCATGTTCGTATGATAGTCAACCTCAGATGCTGCTCCTTAAATATTATTCACCTTGTGGCTTTCTCATGTGGTCCCAAGTTTGCTGAGGGAGCTAAACTGGCTGGTCAGTGAGTGCCAAGATCACCTATTTCTGGCTCACCAACACTAATGCCATAATAAAGCAACATCACATCTAGATTTTTGTGTATAGGTTCTGGGTATCAAATCAGGTTATCATAACTGCATGACAAATATTTTACCACTGAGCCATCTACTCACTTCCCATTTTACTTTTTTATTTCTTTTAATGATTTCAATAACACTTATTTGGTTTTCATATTTGTTTTTGTGTGATATGGTACATATGCCATACCACACTAGTAGAGTGGGTCCTACATATGGAACTTATATTGTTAAGCTTAATAGTAAGCAATTGTGTACCCAAGAAGCCCTCTCACTGGCCCATTGCAAGTTTGGCTCTATAACACTGACACTACCAAGCATTAGGCATCATGTGAGGAATTAAGGCTTCTTAGAAAACTACTTTTTTTCAACAAATCTTTTTACATTAATTTAATTAATGTGCACATGTAAAAGTATATAGAGTATCCTTCAGTCATGTGAGTTATCAATGACTGAACAAGTGCCATTACCTGTTGAGCCATCTTGTCAGTTTTTTTTTTCTTCTGTTTTTGAGATGGGGACTCACTTTGCTAATCAGGCTGGCCTTGAACTCATGAGATTAACTAATTCTTACTGTCTTAGCCTAATACATAGCTGGTAGTAAAAGCACCACTGTTCTCAAATACAGCATATTTATGAAAAAGAATAAAAGTATGAAGGTAAGACTTACACATTATAGAGCTGGAAAAGTGGCTTAGAGGTTAAAAACACTTTAAAGTAGGATACTGGTTCAGTTTCCAGCACCCACAGGGAAGTTGACAGCCTCTATAACTCCAATTTTATGGGATCCTACGTCTTTTTTTTTTTTGCTTCCAATGACATGAAGCATACATGTGGTGAAATTAGATATATGTAAGTAAACACTCAAATACATAAAAATAAAAACATATAGTGGCACCCCTTTAATTACATCACTTGGGAGGCATTGGCAGATGGGTCTCTATGATTTCAAGGCCAGCCTACTCAACAGAATTAGTTCAAGGATAGCCAAGACAACACAAAGAAACACTGTCTTAAAAAACAAAAACTAGACAAAACAACCAAACAAGACCAAAAAAACCCTAAAGGATGTGCATGAGCTACCACTGAGGGTGCTAGGAACAGAACCCAGATCCTCTTCAAGAACAGAGACAGCTCTCAACTGCTGAACCATCTCTCCAGTCCCCTAAAACATAATTGGTATGTCCACGGGCAATCACAAAAGAGATGGTAAGCTGGACTGAGCAAAGAGAAATTTATTATAAAATCACTGAATAACTAAAAAAAGTTACAGAAATTGGAAAATTTCATTATCTATTCATTATCTAGCTTTAAAAGTATGGGTCATGACTAAGGATTGAGTAACTAAATCATGACTAAATACATACAACAACCGAAAAGGTAGCTAAAAATCAAATGTGCAATAAGTTTGACATGTTTCTGGCAGCATTCTCCAGTGTTATGTTGTATGACTTCACTGAAATCTTGGTTCTGAATACATAACAACCTTGCACTGTGAGTGGTATAATCCCACAAAATACTGATAACACTCAAATAACTAAGCTCAGATTTGAGACTATCATGTTGTAAACTGCAGTGTCTTACCATATACATAACTTTTGGTTCTTTTAGAAACATACTGGCTTAATTATGAAAAGCAAAGATTAGCTAGTTGGGGGTGATTTTGCATGCCTTTTATCCCAGCATTTGGGAGGCAGAGTTAGATGGATCTCTAAATTCAAGGCCAGTATGGTCTACAAAGCTAATTTCAGTCAGCCAGGGATACAGAAAAATCCTGTCCTGAAAAAAACGGAGGGGGGGGGGGGGGGAAGAGGAGGAAAACAAATTTTTTTTTTGTTTTTTTTTTTTTTGTTTTTTACAAGACAGGGTTTCTCTGTATTGTTTCGGGAGGCTATCGGTCCAGCCCGGCCTCAAACTCACAGAGATCCGCCTGCCTCTGCCTCCCGAGTGCTGGGATTAAAGGCGTGCGCCACCACTGCCCGGCTGAAAACAAAGGTTTTAACCAGACATGGCAGTACAATTCTTTAATGCCAGCATTCAAAAGGTAGAAGGATCTCTGTGAGATTCAAACCTCTGGACAGTCTACATAGCAAATAAAAATTCCTATGGACTAGAGATGGCTCAGTGGTTAAGAGCACTAACTGCTCTTCCAGAGGACCCAGGTTTAATTCCCTGCACCCACAGGGCAACAAACAACTGTCTGTAACTCCAAGATTTGACTCCCTCATGCAGACATACATAGAGCCAAAATAACAATGCACATTAAAAACAAATAATTAAAAAAAATCCCTACCATCATCTTTTTTTCCAATATATTTTCTTATTTAAATTAGAAACATGCTTGCTTCACATGTTAATCCCAGCTCCCTCTCCCACTCCTCCTCCCTTGGCCCTCCAGCCCCCCACCCAATGCCCACACCATTCCCCAGGGAGGGTAAGGCCATCACTGGGGGATCTCCAAAGTCTGTCATTTCATCTGGGTAGAGCCTATGTCCTCCCCCATGTGTCCTACCATCATTCTTAAGGAAATAAGTATCAAATTAGTCTATATTTACAGTGTATTATGTTAGAATATTTATTATTAGAAATTGCTATTTGAGTTAACCACTTGAGTTTCATTAAAAAATGGATTTCCCAAAAAAAATTTTTTTTTTTGGTTTTTACGAAACAGGGTTTCTCTGTATTATTTTCGAGGCTGTCGGTCCAGCCCAGCCTCGAACTCACAGAGATCCGCCTGCCTCTGCTTCCCGAGTGCTGGGATTAAAGGCGTGCGCCACCACTGCCCGGCTGGCTTTCCAAGTATTTCTTTTATTTACATTATTTTTGTTGAGACAAGGTCTCACTATGTAGTGCTGATTGTCTAGAATTCACATGTAGACCACGTCTACCTCTGGCTTCCTAAGTGTTGGGTGGGATTAAAGGCATGCACCATTATGCCTGCTTCCATTTATTTTACTATGATTTTCTTTTGTTTTATGTGCATTGGTATTTTGCCTTCTTGTATGTCTGTGAGAGAATGTCAGATTTCCTGGAACTGGAGCCACAGATACTGCTATGTAGGTGCTAGGAATTGAACCCAGGTCCTTTGGAAGAGCAACCAGTACTCTTAATCAGTCATCCTTCCAGTGCCATCTGGTTTCTTAAAATGCTTGTATATTTTTCTGCTTATTTCTTTTTTTGCATGTGTTACACATGAGTATTTGTGGAAGATATTGAACAAATAATGGTATTAGTTCTCTTACACCCTGGGGTCCAGGGATGGAAAGGCTATAAAATGCACATGCCCACACATAAATTAAAAATTGAATTCTATTATAAAAATGAGCATATCTATTTTATTATTATATAAATTTAATTTCACCTTTAATAAACTGTAAAGTTAATAAGTTTATACCAAAGATTATCTTAAATAAATTTATAATTAACCATCAGTAAATGCTTGACTTGCATACTTATTACATACTTTACCTGGGGTTATGCAAAAAAGTTCTCAGATTATGCGTTAAAAAAAAAATGGTATGTAGTCACTTAAAAGCATATGTGTACCTGATCAGTTCTAGCTGAGCCAGTTCCAAATTGGCTTGAAAAATAGGTTTCTTTGTGAACAGTTCCCCAAGGATGCATCTAAAAAAAAGAAAATTCAAAGGTTAGAAAGAAATTCCTTGAGACTATCTAAAGTTTGTCTCAATACACTTTTATAGCACCCTAGGTTACAGGCAATATATTGTGTGGTATAGTAGCCCAAACACTTATTGTAGTGAAAATACACATTGTAAAAGGATTATGCCACAGAGAAACCCTGTCTCAAAAACCAAAAAAAAAAAAAAAAAAAAAAAAAGATTATGCCAGCAGATTAAACTCTGGTGTCTAAACAACAGTCCTTTATAAGCAAGGGAGCTCTTCTTCATCTTTGTTACACCAAGGTGATCTAAGGAAATACAGTTTTACATGGATGTAGCAGTCTCTACAAAGAATATTCACTTGCTTTGTATAACTATCCCATACTATTAACTGCTATAGCAATGTATATAAAAAAAAAACTATTGTATTATCAACTAAAATCAATTCATCAAGACTTAAATCAATTCTGTCATATACCTGTGTTATTTTGAAATGGACATTAAGGACTCAGGAGATGGTTCAGCAGGTAAAATAAATATTGAGACCTGTGTATGAATATATAGAAGCCACATAAAACTGAGTGTGGGCTGGGCGTTGGTGGCGCACGCCTTTAATCCCAGCACTCGGGAGGCAGAGGCAGGCGGATCTCTGTGAGTTCGAGGCCAGCCTGGTCTACAAAGTGAGTTCCAGGACAGCCTCCAAAACAACAGAGAAACCCTGTCTCGAAAAACCAAAAAAAAAAAAAAAAAAAAAAACTGAGTGTGGTCCTGTGCCAATAATGCCAGTGATCCTATCCATAGCAAGATAGGAGATATACATTCTCTCATTCTCAAATGCATATACACACGTAACAAAATAGAAATGAATAAAGTAAAATAAAACTTTAGAAAAAAGAAACACCAAGGTGATTAAGATCACTTGTTTTGAAGAGGACCAGAGTTCAATTACCTGCACTACATTGTACCTCACAACAATCTTGTAATTCTAACTCCAGAGGATCTAACACCTTGTACTACTAACTATAAAAGGGAAACAACGTTTTAGTGGGAAAAACAATACATTAACCAAGTGACCATAAAATTGTTAACATTTCTAAAGGGCAATGGAAGTCCAAGTAAATGCACATATAATGCCCAGTGAGGAACATAACACTGCTTATAGAATATTTTTTAATAACTTTTTTTGTTGTCTTTTGGAGGTTTTCCTGGAACTAGCTCTTGTAGGCCAGGTTGGTCTCGAACTCACAGAGATCTGCCTGCCTCTGCCTCTTGAGTGCTGCGATTAAAGGTGTGCGCCACCACTGCCCGGCTATAATGTATTTATTTTTTAAGTGCATTGGTATTTTGCCTGCATGTATGTCTGTGTGAGGGTGTCAGATCTTGGAGTTAGACAGCTGTGATCTGCTATGTGGGTGCTGGGAATTGAACCCAGGACCTTTGGAAGAGCACCCACAGTGTTCTTAACCACTAAGCCACTTCTCCAGTCCCATGAAATATCTTGCTAAAAATATATAACCTAGATCTGTGTAGTACCTGGTCCACATTCTTCAAAATAATAAAAGATACAAAAAACTGACATGGAAAGCAGTCCACAATTATACCTGTACTACTTCAGGAACTTTGGTAAGGTCACAAGAGCCTACAAGTTATAAACTAGGATGTCCAACAGCAGAGAAATGACTTTAAAAAACAAACGAACAAAAAACAGGTTAGTGTAATATGAGATCCTGAAGTAAACGAAGAGTTATTATTTCTAGGACACTATTAGTAAAAGAATAAAACTGGAATAAGAACTGTACATTTATCCTATATTAACGCTTAAATTTCCTTAATTAGCTCTCTGGTTGACTTCAAAATTGGATCTTCCTGTCTTCATGACTGGGTACAGAATTATAGGCTTGTACTACCCTGTGCAGCTACATTAAATTTCTTGAATTTGATAATTTCATTACGGCTATATAACATGATATTGTTTGAAAGTATTTCAGGGCTGGAGAAATGGTTACAAGAACTGGCTGCTCTTCCAGAGGACCTGAGTTCAATTCCCAGCAACTACATGGTCACTCACAACCATCTGCAATGAGATCTGGTTCCCTCTTCTGGCCTGCATGCACACATGAAGGCAGAACACTGTATACATAATAAATAAACCTTTGAAAATTTTATTTTAAACAAATATAAAGGGAAAAATATATGAATACTCCTTACATTTCATCTGTCTGAAACAACCTGTAGTTCCAGCTCTAAAGGAGCTGAAGCCTCTGGACTCAATGGACACCTGCATTAGTGTGCACATACCCACTTACTGGCATTCACTAAATCTAAATAAATACTCTGAAGGTGGCGATTCAACTCCTTAATCCCAACACTTGGGGGCAGAGATGCTGGGTCTCTCTGAGTTGGAGGCCAGCCTAGTTTTCATAATGAGTTCCAGTGTAGCCAGGGAAAACAGAAAGAGATCCTGTTTCTAAAAAGTATTTTTAAAAAAATGCTAGCATTGTGATGCTCATTATATTAATGTATTTTTTGTTGGGTTTTAGGAACATTTTATAGACTCATGTAGCCTAGGCTGGCCCTGAACTCTCAATTCTCTAGCCTCCACCCCCAAAATATCAGGATTTCAAAGCCTCTATCGCCACCCGAGCTCTATACACACTTTCATTTGAATAGATTATTTTCACTAATTTTTGAGAATTTTAAATAGTGTAATTTGATTATGCTCACCTCCAGTTAAAAATGATTTATTTTTATTATTTATGTGTGGGTTACTTGGAGGCTAGAAGAAATATTTTATCCCCTTGAGCTAGAATTATAGGTATTAGCCTGTTGCATATATTGGAAACCAATCCATGGTCATCCCCAGGAAGAGCATCAAGCACTCTTAATTACTGAACCATCTCTCCAGCCCCCAAATTTTTACTTTAAATTATATGTATTATGTGTGGGAGCAGAAGTATGTGTATGCACATGCCCATGGAGATCAGGGATATCAAGATACCCTGGGACTGGAGTTATGAGCTGAAATGGAGAACCAAACCTGGGATCCTCAGTAAGAGCATCAAGGGCTATTAATCACTTGGTCAACTTTATTGTCTCTACCCCCTTTATCAGCTTTTTCTTCTCCTTCTTCCTCTTATTGTTTTTACTTTTCTTTGAGAAAGGGTTTCATTATGCATACCTGGCTATTTTAGAACTCTCACTTTGATCAGAGAGATCCACTTGTCTCTGCCTCTGAAGTTCTGGGATTAAAGGACTGCACTACTATGCCTCATTTTTATTTGCATTTTTAACCTAAAATGCCCTAAAGAAATTTGTACTTCACTTATAATTTGCTTTATTAGCCTTCCTAGTGTCTTTCTTAATTCGCTTAATGGGTAATTAATGCTCTTTACTCACAGGTAGGAAAAGTAGAAATAAGATTTGTTTCCAATATTAACTGTAAAATTAACTTCCAAACACAGCTTTAAATCAACTAGTAAAATAGAAGAGCAGTAGAAAAGAAAATCACAAAGGAATAGAAAGGTTTGATGATTTGTTTTGGAGACAGTGTTCTCAAACTTGTTGAGAAGCCGGGGAAGACCTTGAATTATTTCTGGGTGGTGGTGATAGTTTCTAGACAGGGTCTTTCTATGTAGTTCCAGCTGCCTTAGAATTTGTTCTGTAGACCAGGATGGTCTCAAGAACTCACCTGCCTCTGCATCCTGGGTTCTGGGATTAAAGTATACACCACCACCACTGATCTGGAGCCTGAACTCTCAAACCTCCTGACTCCACTTGTCAATTGCTTCATATATAATTTGTTAAACTACTCTTTCTATTTTCTGCACAGAATGGTACACCTAAGCACTAAAATGACAGCTCTGTGATACCACACTGGCTCTGCTTCAGAGTTATTTCAGTCCTTTAGTGAAAAAGACTTCATTATGTAATCAACATTTTATTCATCACAGTAAGCTAGGAGGTTGCAGAGACTGGCAAAAAAAAAAAAACAAAAAACAAAAAACCAATATAACTCTATAAATTCCCCCCATGCACCTTGGCTTTCCTTTTGTTTTGTTTTTGGAGATAGGGTTCCTCATGTGGCCCAGGCTAGACTCAAGGATGACTCTAGCCTCTAGCTCTTCCTCATTCATCTTTTTTTTTTTTTTTTTTTTTTGGTTTTTCGAGACAGGGTTTCTCTGTATTGTTTTGGAGGCTGACCAGGCTGGCCTCGAACTTACAGAGATCGACTGCCTCTGCCTCCCGAGTGCTGGGATTAAAGGCGTGCGCCACCAACTCCCGGCTTCCTCATTCAGTTTAATGGGTTGTTAACCTTCCAGCGTAACTATAATAAAATGGGTTAGTACTTTTGAATACAAATATAACCAGTTTCAGTCATTTAAACTTAAATAAAGAATCATTTAATTTAGGTAAGCTACCATCTTGTTAAATTTTAAAAATAAAAAACACAGCACTTGTCTTAAAGACTTACAACACAGGAATGGAAAAAACAGCAATAATGACACACTATTTTAGAAGTACGTGGGAATCATAACCAACATAAGATGAGTGCCACCCCACATACAAATAACAAATGAGGACCATTTAAAATATTTAGGCCCTTTGCATGGTGGTACATGCCTTTAAGCACCTGAGCGGGGGAAGAGTTAGGTGGATCAATGTGAGTTCAAGGGCAGCCTAGACTATATATATCAGCTTTCCATCCACTCAGGGCTACATGACAAGACTCTGTCTCAAAAGAATAAACATAAAAACACTTTATTCCTTAACATACAAAAATGTAGCTTTTTAATTTCATTTTCATTTTCAAGCCAGGAATAGTTTACACAATCTGCAATCCCAACACTTGGCAGTTGGATGAAAAAGAATTCTGTTTAAGGACTTCTTGAGCCATACAATGAGTATGATAACCTGGGGTACATGTGATCTTATCTTAAAAGACAAATTTTTTTTCAGAATATCTATGTTGGTGTACACTTACAACCTCAGCATTTGGGTGGAAAAGGAAGATTGCAATAAATATGAAGCCAGACTAGTCTACATAGTAAACCAACATAGTCAGGGATAGAGAGACCCTGAATAAAAATAAGAAGAAAAGAGAAGGGGGTAGGAGGAAACATATCAAAAAGGAGCACTCCTTAAGAAAAAAGGCGGACAGGGGCAGTGGTGGCCCACACCTTTAATTCAGCACTTGGCAAAGGCAGGCGGATCTCTGCTTGGTCTACAAGAGCTAGTTCCAGGACAGCTTCCAAAACCACACAGAAACCCTGCCTCGAAAAACCAAAACCAAAAGAAAAAAGAAAAAAGGCTGATTATAGATAGAAGGCTTGAACAAGAAAACAAGGATGACTATTAAAGATTATTAACAATGTATCAAGAGAACTCAATAACTAATGAAACCAGATTTAGTCTACTAGAAAAAGATTAGTAAGTTCGAACAAGAATTAGTACAACAAGACTGTAGAAATGGCTAGAATGTCAAGAGCACTTGTTTTTCTAGAAGGGGACCAGAGTTTGGTTCCCAGCACCATGTCAGGGCAGCTCACAACTGCCTCTTTAGCTTTAAGGGACTGGACACCCTTTTCTGGGTTATGTGGGCACTCGTACAAACTTGGCACATGTTTACTCTCACTCTCTCCTATTCTCTTTTCTTCTTTCTCCCTCTCACACAAATTATATATTTTTATTATAATTATTACAATGAACTAAAACATATCAAATATGTAAGTTTATCATTTAATAATGAACCTAATAAAAAAGAAAACTAATAAATCAAATCTCCTTACTGGTTATTTTTGCAGAATAGCAAAACCACCTCACTATTTTGAAAATTGGTAAATAAGTGAAACAACTACCCTTTTGCAATACTAAATGTTAAACCCAGGATTTCATATTAGGCAGACAAGTCATTGACCTATATTCCCACTCCTAGCATTTTGTTTTTGGTTTTTGTGACAGTGACAACAAAAACCCAGACTAACAGAAGTCTATAGAATAAATGATCTAGTGTCTCTAAAGAGACTGTTAAGTAAACAAGTGAAATCAAGGGGCTGGATAAAAGGCTTAGTGGTTAAGAACACTGACTGTTCTAACAGAGGACCAGGGTTTAATTCCCAGTATCCACAAGGCAGTTCACAATTGTCTGTAACCCTAGTTTCAGGGGATCTGATACCGTCACCCCAATGCATATAAAGGTTAAACAAATTATTAAAAAAAAATCAAGAGAAATGGAAAGGAATGCTAATTAAGAGATGAGATAGCCGGGCGGTGGTGGCGCACGCCTTTAATCCCAGCACTCGGGAGCAGAGGCAGGCGGATCTCTGTGAGTTCGAGGCCGGGCTGGACCGACAGCCTCCGAAACAATACAGAGAAACCCTGTCTCGTAAAAACCAAAAAAAAAAAAAAAAAAAAAAAAAAAAAAAGAGATGAGATAAACTGGGGACAGTGATACATGCTTGTTATCCCAACTAACTGGAAACTGAGAGATGAAGTATTACCAGATTCAGGAAAGTCTGGGCAACTGAAGCAAGTAGCTAAATGGTCTCCTTTTCTTAGAAAATAAGAAGTTGGGAGGCAGAGGAAGGCAGACCTTTGTGTCTTAGAGGCCAGCCCGGTCTACTGTGCCAGTTCCAGGACAGCCTCCAAAGCTACAGAGAAACCCTATCCTGAAAAACCCAAAAAATAAAGAAATAAAAAGTAAATTTTTTTTATCTATATGTATGTATATATGTAAGTGTGTAAACACTTAGGAAGAAAGACAAATGGCTAATAATGAGAGGAAAAAGTATATGCTAATTCCATATGAGTTACAGACAAAGCAAAAGGTTAAAAGAAACTTACCCACAGCTCCAAACATCAATGGCTGGTGTGTATCTTTCCTCTCCCAGCAGCAGTTCTGGAGGTCGATACCACAGAGTAATGACTTTGTTTGTGTAAGGGCGACTGAAAGGTAAAACCATCAGGTTGTAAACATGCAATAGCTTTTGATGGAAAATATGTAACTAAACACAAATGGAAATATCTGCCAACTGGAGATTGTTAAAACAATTCCAACAGCAAATGAGCAGGCCAAAAGGAAGCAGAACAGAACTGAAAGGTGAAGAAATCACTTCTAGTCCAACTTATATTAATGTATTTCAATGAATTCAACAGTGTCTAATATCTAGATGTTACATAGCATGGTGACTTCAGAGGGATATGATACCTCTTCGGTCAAGTATGTGAAAGTAACATGCAGATATAAGATTAAAAATAAAAACATGTCTTTGCTGGGCAGTGGTGGCGCACACCTTTAATCCCAGCACTCGGGAGGCAGAGGCAAGAGGATCTCTGTGAGTTCGAGGCTGGGCTGTACCGACAGCCTCCAAAACAATACAGGGAAACCCTGTCTCGTAAAACAATAAATAAATGAATGAATGAATGAATAAATAAATAACAAGTCTTTAAAAAAAAATGAATGAACCAGGTGGTGTGGTGCATGCATTTCATCCCAGCACTTGGGAGGCAGAGTCAGAAGGATTTTTGAGGCCAGCCTGGTCTAAAGAAAAAAACTCCAGGATTGCCAATGCTATAATGACAGACTCTGTCTCAAAAAACTAAAAACAAAACAAATCAAAAAAGGAATGCTAGGTACAGTGGCTCACGCCTTTAATACCAGCACTCTGTAGACGGAGGCAGGTGTATTTCTGAGTTCAAGGCCAGCCTAGTGAGTTCTAGGATGTCGAGTAAAAGATAGATAAACCCTGTCTCAAACAAAACAGAAAACAAGCAAACAAACAAAAAAGATCTAGGTGGTAACACATTCAAATACTCACTATAACTTTGTAGAATTTGAAAGTATCAGTAAATTAAAAAGATTCTTCTCTAATTCCCACCATTTTGCTTTTTTGTTTTTGTTTTTGTTTTTTGTTTTTTTTGTTTTTTGAGATAATGTTCTTGCCAAAGTTGACTTTGAATCATGGGCAACATGTAAACCTTCCCATAGATAGTTTTGATGAATGCCTCACCTTTCTTCAGAGTTATAGAGCCGAGCAAGTCCAAAATCTGCTAGTTTGATTTGCCCACTGTAAAACAAACAATTATTTTCATAAGTTAAAGTAGCAGCAGCTCTCAAATTACACTTGAAAACTTAGGTGCCAATTAAAGACCCTAATGGATTGTAAAAATTATTTTTTACACTTCGTATTTCTAAGGGTTACCCCTCCCCAATTTCCTCTCCTTACATAGTATGTCATGCCTCATAATAACAAAAGTTATTATTGCATTTTTGGATTTGATCTCTAATTTTAAATTTTCATTCTTACCATAGAGTCTGAACTACCCAGCTTGGCCTCCAACTCCTAGACTTAAGCATCAGCTCACCTCTACCCAGTCAAGAACTGTGACTATCATGACACTCCCACACCAGTTTTAACTATTTACTTCTTTTTGTTTAAGTTTAAGCTGAGAAGTGGTGGTGCATGCCTTTGATCCCAGCACTCAGAGGCTTAGGCAGGCAAATCTCTATGAGTTTGAGTCCAATCTGGTCTACAGAATGAGTTCCAAGACAGGCTCCAAAGCTACACAGAGAAACCCTGCCTCAAAAACCAAACCAAACAACAACAAAAACAAAATTGGGGAGACTTATACTCAAGTAAGACAAAAATCAAATAGTAGGAGCTGGTGAAATGGCTCAGGAGTTAATAGCACTGATTCCAGTTCCAGAGGACCCACTACCTTCCCTCAGGCATACACACAGGCAAAACACCAATGCATATAAAAAATAAATATTAAAACAAGAAAAGTAACAGTAACAAAAATGTTCATTAAATCAACCACTGTCGTTCCTAGCAAAGTCTGGACACTGTTATCCACTTGCCCCAAATATTCCTTCTCCACTGTATGAAACAGGATCTCACTATATAATCTTCCAGTTTTAGCTTCCCAAATGTAGGGATTATAAGCACAAGCCACTTTTCTGTCTCATAAACATTTTAAAGTTTAATTTGGAAGCAAATTCCAAGAAATGAAAAAAAGTAAAGAAAGATCTAAGCCGGGCGTTGGTGGCGCACACCTTTAATCCCAGCACTCGGGAGGCAGAGGCAGGCGGATCTCTGTGAGTTTGAGACCAGCCTGGACTACCAAGTGAGTTCCAGGACAGCCTCCAAAGCCACAGAGAAACCCTGTCTCGAAAAACCAAAACAAAACAAAACAAAAAAAAAAAAACAAAGATCTAAAAATTAAACAGTATGCCTTTAATCACAGCACTCGGGAGGCAGACGCAGGCAGATCTCTGTGAGTTCAAGACCAGCCTGGTCTACCAAGCGAGTTCCAGGACAGCCTCCAAAACTATACAGAGAAACCCTGTCTCAAACAACCAGAGCAACTAATGCTCTTAACCACTGAGCCAGCTCTCTAGCATTTGACTCTTTTTGTACATGCCAAAATTTCCCATTACTTCCACATCAGAATGTCAGGCTAACTTGAGCTATAAGACGTTATCTTTAAATAAATGTGCTGGGAATATAGCTTAGAGTTCTTACCTAGCATATGTGAGGTTCTGAGTTCCCAGCATCACAAAGAATAAACAAGAAACAGGGAGATGGCACTTGCTACCAAGCATGGTGAGAGTTCAATCCCCAGAACTCAACAGGGTGGAGCCTGTTCTGCAACCAGCTCTAGTAAACCAGGCTGGTCTCAAACTCAGAGATCCACCTGCCTCTGCCTCCCAAGTGCTGGATTAAAGGTGTGGGCTACCACCACCCAGCCTGAGCTATCTCAGGTCTCCCAAAACAATATAGGCTTAAGTTGAGTGTGGTACTTAACACCTCAATACTTAGTAGGCTGAAGCAGAAGGGTTAACTTTGACTTAGAAAACACCCTAGGCTACAGAGTGAGACACTTGTTTGCTTAAAAAAACAAGGGGAAAAAGAAACCATGAACATTTGGTCTTCTTTAATACTTATATAACAAATATAATGGAACCCAACCTAGCTCTACTACTCCTTTTGCAAATGGTTCTTTCTCCCACTGACGAAAACCTTTCATATTTTACCCAGGCATTCTCACTCCACTCTGAAGACCAATATGGCCAGGAAACAATCCACCTTCCTCAAGAATGCCAGTGTCAGTAGCTTACAAGACCTTGGAAGCCTCACTATAATTATACCCAAATTCAGCCCCTATACCAAGTATGACACCATGATCAACCAGGTCATACCCTACAACTAACTACCTAGTGCCTGTGCTAAATAACTGGAATATGGCCAACATACATAGCCATTCACAGATCTCTTAGGGCTAAGCCTAGAATGGTTCAAGAATCAATGAATACTTCTATCTACTATGGCACCCAATAAAAATGTGAAAGCCAACATCCTATCCTGGAGATGGGATGGGAAAAGACTTGAATAGGCAGATCTAAGTTAGCAGCAATAGAAACTTGACAAATCAAGTTGGCTTGTAGCATCCATCTTAATTAGTAACCGTGACAGAGTTCAATTTAGTGTGAAATTTCATTCTGTATGACTCTGGGAAGTCAGGAACTGGGAAGGGGAATCCCAATAAAAGATATAAAACAGAATATTAATTATTACTTTCTCTGAGATGTCCTCCCCCCATGAAGAAACTATGTCAACAGAAGAAAATATAATACTAAATGCCAAAAAGCCTCAAGTTGACAGCTCTCATTAAATTTTTCTTTGTACTACTGGTAATTGAGTTTAGGTTTATACCATTAAGCTATGGCCAAAGCCTCAACTGTAATCCTACTTTACGCTCATTAAAATGGTTTTTTCAATGGCTGGGCGTTGGTGGCGCACGCCTTTAATCCCAGCACTCGGGAGGCAGAGGCAGAGGCAGGTGGATCTCTGTGAGTTCGAGGCCAGCCTGGTCTACAGAGCTAGTTCCAGGACAGCCTCTAAAACAATACAGAGAAACCCTGTCTCGAAAAAACAAACAAACAAACAAACAAAAAATTGTTTTTTCAGCCAGGTGATGGTGGTGATGGTGTACACCTTTAATCCTGACACTTGGTAGCTAGAGGCAAAGGCTCAAGCAAGAAGACCTCTGATTAGTCTCCCAAGTGTTGAGATTAAAGGAATGCACCACTATGCCCAACAAGACAGTCTTAATGGTTAACCTAGAAAACTTGAATGCACACTTCTCCTGCTCCAGTCTTCAAACTATCCGAGACTACAGATGAACTATGAATTATGGATATAGACTTAGTAGGAGATTTTTGGGTTGCAGAGATAGCAAGAGAATTGCATCAAACAAAAAACCCAACAACAACAAAAAAACTTTTTTCAAAGTGATGCCTTACTAAATTGTCCAAGCTGGCATCAAACCCGACTCTCTCACTTTAACTTCCCTAGGCACTGGGATTATAAGAATGCACGCACAGTTCCTGTTTAAGAGTTAATCTTTATACATTATGTTTGCCTCACAATAAAGGCTTTAAAGTGTAATTGTAAGTAACGATTTACACAGATACTTTGAATATCCTACACCCCTTGAACTGTAGATAAAAGTAACTTCCTTACTAGAATTTACACAATTGTAAACTGGTTCCTAGTAACAATGCAAGTTCATTTTTCACCATAATTGCTTTACTTCTTGATCTAGTAATAATGTTATGTTTATAGTTTTCTAGACATAATACACTATTTACCTTTTTTCTTTTTGAGAGTCACACATAGTTTCAGGCTGGCCATGAAAGTGCTATGTGTTGCTATAAATCAAACCTATGTCTCAGTGCATACAAGCAAGTATTCTACCAAGTGATATATTCCCACCCTTGCTTTCCAACCCTTGATCCTCCATCCCTTAACTTCTAAAGTACTACTGGTATTACAAGAATGTTCTCTTTCATGTTTATGTGCTTTTGTACAATCAGTGTCAAGAGATTGATTCTTCATTTTCAGTATTTCTGATAAAATACAATTTAGTCCTCAAAGCTGAATCTTTCTAGATGATTCTAAATTAAACAGACAAACATGATATGCTGTGGTAGTATATGCCTTTAATCCAAGCACTTGGGAGGCTGAGAAAAAGAATCATAGTTCAAAGCCACCTGAGCTACATACTGAGACTGTCTAAAACAAGTAACAACCAAAAATTGCTTATTGAAATAAAAAATTAATAAACTGCTTAGCTCTACTACTAAACTCAGCTGCACAGTGTTGAACTACCAGGCTTTTAATGTTAAAGTTTGGAAAATCTCAGGTAATCCCACACAGTTTCTTATTCCACCTCCTACCACAACCTACTCTGTGTGTGTGTGTGTGTTGAGGAACAGTCTTCCTTTGAAAGGAAGTAACTGACAAATTCTCAAGTACAGTTGACTAGTAAGAATGAACCCAATGTATATTTAACTTTCCCTGAGTAACATCTCTATTGATTATATAGTATATTCTCTAGTAGACCAATATCCTAGAATGTTGCAAGTAAAACTATTTGCAATCCTATTTTATTAATTCTAATATTAAATCAGGAAGGATGATAGAAGAGGGAGGTAAAACGAAGAGACAAGAAAAGAATACATTCAACATGTATGACAAGAAAAAAAGTAGCACTGCTTATACTCCTAATTATCAAGACAAAATCCAAAAGAAAGGGAAAAAGTGATTAGCCTTATTTGGTTACTATGTTACCTGTTATTCAGCAAAATGTTAGAACATTTAATATCCCGATGAAGGAAATTCTTTTTGTGACAGTAATCCAGTCCTTCCATTAGCTGTTTCATGAATGACTTGATATGGTCCTCAGAAAAGTGCACCAAACCTGATTCTAGCAGTCCCATTAAGTCATGGTCCATATATTCAAATACAAGGTAAAAGGCACCTACATAACATAAAAAAATTTTTTTAATGTTGAAATAACAAACTTTGTTTTTTCGAGACAGGGTTTCTCTGTATTGCTTTGGAACCTGTCCTAGAACTCACTCTGAAGACCAGGATGGCTTCGAACTCACAGAGATCCGCCTGCCTCTGCCTCCCCAGCGCTGGGATTAAAGGCATGCACCATCATCACTGACCTTTTTTTTTTATAAAATAAAAAAAATTCATTTTATATATAAGAGTGTTTTGTCAGGTTAAGAGCACTGGATGTTCTTCCAGAGATGATATCGAGTCCAATTCCCAGCAATCACAAGGAGGCTCACAACCCTCAATAATGAGATCTGATGCCCTCTTCAGACATACATGTAGACAAAATACTGTAAATATAAATAAATAAATCCTTAAAAGAAAAAAAAAAGTGTTTTGTGCATCACATCCATGCCTGTTGCCTGTAGAGGCCAGAAGATGTTACTTAGTCCACTGGAACTGGAGTTACAAATGGTTGTAAACTGACAGGTGAGTCTGGTAAACAAATGAGGGTACTTTGAGTCATCTTCTCCAGCTCTGCCCTCTCTATTCCCTTTTTTTTGAGACAGGGTCTTACTATGTAGCCCTAGCTGGCCTAGAGCTATGCAGATCAGTCTAGTTTCACAGCCTTCGCCTCCTGAGCACAATTCACAATTGCCTATAATTGGAGCTCTAGAAGATCTGACCTCTTTTGATCTCAATATAGACATGTACTGTAATGGTATTTTTTTTTTCTCTTTTGAGGGGCCCACCATCCAGCTCCCAAATAAATACATGGAAGCTTATTCTTAGTTTTGAATGTCTGGCCTTAGCTTAGACTGTTTCTTTTTAGCTTTGATTAACTTACATTATCCCATCTACCTTTTGCCTCTGGGCTTTTCCCATTCTCTTTATTTCTATAAATCTTACTCTTAGTCCATGCACTGCTGTGTGGCTGGGTGGCTTCTCAGGTCCTCCTGAACTTGTTTTCTCCTTTGCTCCTATTTATACTCCCTATCTGCCAGCCCCTGCTAGACTTGCTCCTGCCTTGCTATTGACCATTTAGCTCTGTGTGTCTGTGTTTTACAGGCACAGTAGCACAGCTTCACAGAGTTAAACAAATGAAGTATAAACAAAAGTCACACACCTTAAAATAATATCCCCCAACACACACATGCTATAAACTCACACTAATAAACAAAAATAAGATAAATGTGAAAAATTTTGAGTAAAAATAATTGAAAAGTGATGTCAAGATGGCTCAATGTTTTATAGAAATACCTGTGATTTTTCTTAGAAAGAGATAGAGAGATGGCTCAGCTGTTGAGTTCTGACAACTGATTAAAAGTGTACCTTGAGGCTAGAAAAAGGGTGTCAGATTACCCTGGAGGTGGAGTTAGTGGTGGTTGTAAAATGCCTGACCTCACATCACATCCTCTATAAGTATTCACTCTCCTGTCCCTAGAAAAGGTGTATAAACCAGGCATGCTAGCACACACTTGTAATTCTCAACACTCAAGAAATTAAGACAGGAAGTTTGACAATAGCTGTAAGGTAGCCTGTACTACACTGTGAGAACTTGTCTCAAAATTAAATCAACAAAAAGGATATAAAATCACATCACTGACTTATGGGGACTACATTTTAAAAAGTACAATATTAGCCAGCCTGATCTACAGAGTGAGTTCCAGGACAGCCAGGACTATTATACAGAGAAACTCTATCTCAAAACAAAACAAAACAAAAAAATTAGATGTTTCACAATTTGTAAACAGAACAAACCATAACTCACAATTTGTAAACAGAACAAACCATAACTGATGCTGTTGATCATGATAGCAGCCACACACATTCACTTAGTTGTACAGTGCATGATTAGGTTCAATGCTGGGGAACATATGCTGGGGTGGGTTCAAATTAAGGCTATATAAATTTTTGCTATGTTTCTTAAAATCAATCTAAGCAAATCTAATATGCTATCTTGTAATTCACTGGTTAAGAATGTTTAGTGGGCTTGAAAGATAATTCCAGCTCCAGGGGATCTGAAGCCCTCTTCTGGTTTCTGTGAGTACCATGTACACACTTGTATACAGACTTGTGTAGACAAAATATTCATACACATGAAATAAAAATAAAGTAAATCTTTTTAAAATGTATTTTTTGTTTGGTTTTTTCAAACAGGGTATCTCTGTGTAACACTGGCTGTCCTGGAAATTTACCTGCAGACCAGGCCAGCCTTGAACTTAGAGATCTACCTTTGCTTCCCAAGTGCTGAGATGAAAGGTGTGTGACACCAGCACCTAACCTAAAAATGTGTATTTTATTTTATTAGTCAACACTACTTAGCAAAAACAAACAAACAAAACTCTTTAAAAAAAAAGATTAAGTCTTTATATATTAGCTAGGTAGGACTCAAACTTACTATGCAGACTAAGCTGGCCTTGAATCTGTGATCCCTGGATAACCTTCCAGTTGTGATTATAATAATATAACAATACCTAGCTTAATCTGTTAATATACATATATTTTTTAGGTCAACTGGAGGTGCTATTCATTTTGTCATTTTCTTGTTAATTGTGTGTGTGTGTGTGTGTGATATGCATGGAAGGTCACAAGAAAAGAGGCTCTCTAATATCACCTGTGGGATCTAGGTTGTCAATCCTGAAAGGAAGCACACCTCTACCTACTGAGTCATCTGGACAGCCCTATCTTTTTTTGGGGGACAGGGTTTCTTACTTTACTTACTCACCAAGGTCAATGGGATGATGGACCAGCAAGTCCTAATGATTAGCCTGTCTGCTTTCCTGGCACTGGGATTTCATGTGCACTCACCATACCTGAATTTTCAGTGTGGGGTCTAAGGATTTAATTCAGGTCCTCATATTTGTTCAGCAATAATATTGATGATGGAACTACTTCCAAACACCCTCATCTGCAAACATCTTAACACAAAATTACTGTTACAGACTTAAAAAAAGCAAGACTGCAGAATCTAAGGAAGGCTCAGCAGTTAACAACACTTGCTGTTATTATAGAGGATCCAGATTTCATTCCAGCACCCATTCTGTGGCTCACAACTTTAATTCCAGTTCTAGGCCCTCCACCAGCACTGGATGAATAAAGTGAAGACGTGCAATCAGGCAAAACACCCACACATACAAAATGAAATGAAACAAATTTACAAAAACAAGCAACACTAAGCCTGGCACACACCTTTAATCCCAACACATGAAAGTAGAGGCAGGCAAATCCCTGTGAGTTGGAGGATAGCCTGGTCTACAAATAACAGTTCCAGGACAGTTACAAAGAAAAATCTGTTTCAAAAAACCAAAAAGGTTGGACTGACAGCCTCCAAAACAATACAGAGAAACCCTGTCTCGTAAAACCAAAAAAAAAAAAAAAAAAAAAAAAAAAAAACCAAAAAGGCAAGACTGGGGGACTGTCTCAGAAAAAAAAAATTATAAGCAGGGTGTTGGTGGCCCTTTAATCCCAGCACTCAGGAGTTCAAGGCAAGCCTGGTCTACAGAGCTAGTTCCAGGACAGCCTCCAAAACAATACAGAGAAACCCTGTCTCAAAAAAAAGAAAGAAAGAAAGAAGGAAGGATAAAGGCAAGAGGATAACGAGTTCAATGTCATCCATAGAGATAAGAGAGTGAGGGGGGGAGGGAAGGAGGGAGAGAGAGGAGGGAAGAGGGGGGAATGGAGAGAGACAGACAGACAAGACAGACAGATACCTTATCTGTAAAAGAAAATAAAAAAATATAAAAACAGAAGCTGAGCCAGGCTGTGATGAAAGCACCAGGGAGGCAAAGGTAGACAAATCTCTGTAAGTTCAAGGCTAGCCTAGTCTACAGAGTGAGTTCCACAAAAGGTTTCAAAGCTACAGAGAAACAAAACCAAAAAGAAAACAAAAAAAAACCAACCCCCCCCCCCCAAGAAATCTAGAAGCTGTATGGTGCAGTAAATAAGAAGACCTGCAGCTCTTGCAATGGGTCTTTGTTTCATTCCCAGGGTCTACATGGCTGCTTACAATAATTGCAAATCCAGTATCAGGATATCTAGTGCCTTTTCAGGCCTCCATGAAGACAAAAAATATAAAAACACAACTGGGAATCAAAAGCAGGCAGACATCTGAGTTCAAGTTTGAGGACAGCCTGGTATAATTTCCAGAGAATTCAAGGTTACAAAAAAAAAGCATCAAAAATAAATAAATGATGGCATGGTGGCGCATGCCTTTCATCCCAGAACTCAGGAGGCAGAGGCAGGCAGATCTCTGAGTTTGATGCCAGTCTGGTCTAGTGAATTACAGAATGGTCAGTACTATGTAGAAACCCTGTCCACTCCCACCCCTAAAAAAATTCATATAAATCGAAATGGATAACATCATAATTGGAGCACTGTTCTTGCAAGCACACATGTGCTTGCAGATAAAACCTCATACACATGAAATTTTAAAAATCTGAAATTTCTGCTATTACCTTTGTCTTTCTTGAAATCCAGTGCATCTTGTTTGTCTGTGACAATTTCCTTCATGTTAACAACACTTCGATGAACTAACTGACGAAGAATTTTGATCTCCCGGATGGCTGTGATTGGGAAGCCCTCTTTCTCATTGTCTAGCCGAACCTTCTTCAGAGCTACTAGTTCTCCTGCAGAAACATATGCAAACTGTCATTATAAACAAACTCGAAGGTCTCAATCATCATTATGAACCAGCATCACACATCCTTGCCTTCACAGACTTAAGCATTTTTGTATTTTTACATAAAACCACTACATTTCCCTTCTTTTTTTTAGGAGGTTAACTGAATTTAGAACCTATGATAAGCATGCTTTCTATCATCGGGCTACACAACCAGTCCTATTTCTATGTTCCCCAGTCTTCATACTGATTCATGTTGATACCATACATAATCTCATTCTTTTCCTAACCCCCTTTCTCATTTCAGAGACAGGATCTTACAAGTAAACTGAGCTGTCTCCAACTTATGTTCCTACCTCTGCCTCCCTAGTGATCTCATGTGGTGCAAGGAGAAAACAGACTACCTACAAGTTGTACACTGACCGCCCAATGTATACCATGACACAAATATTCCCCACAGACACATACATATGTATTCATTAAATATAATCCCATCCATGCAAAATAACAAAAATTCCCAACAAACAATAAAATGTTTATAAAACACACACACACAGCCGGGCGTTGGTGGCGCACGCCTTTAACCCCAGCATTCGTGAGGCAGAGGCAGGACGAGGATCTCTGTGAGTTCAAGGCCAGCCTGGTCTACAGAGTTAGTTCCAGGACAGCCTCCAAAAGAATACAGAGAAACCCTGTCTCAAAAAACCAAGAAAACCAAAATAAAAACAAAACAAACACACACACACACACACACACACACAGAGAGAAGCCAGGGAATACAGCATTTTTGATAAACTGCTTGGGTAAGCTCTAGGTTCAAATCCCAGCACCAAAACATACTACAAAACGAAAAAAGAACAAACAAAATACTTCGCCAAGTCAAAACAATAAATATTCAAAACATACAACAAAAGTAGATGAATTAAGCTTCTAGCTTACAGTGCTGAAAATCAATATAGTGCTCACAAATGTACTCAAACACTCTATCAATTAAATATATATTCCTAGCCCAAAAGAAAACCTTTACTATAACATTATCATACATGTAACTTGCATGTCATTCATAGACTCAAACAACTGTAGACTAAAAACATTTGGCAGTGGTAATAGATACTTTCTAAATTATATATGTTCAGACATCATTTTCTTTGTCATTAATCCTTGAATGATAACAATTTTTATTCATAATTTGCTTTTATTCATACCAAAAATATTCTAGACATAATTTAAACTACACAGGAGGGTGGGTAGAGGTTAGATGCAAATATTATGCTATTTTATGTAAAGGACTTGGTACAGGAAAGTCCTGGAACAGACAGATACTAAGGGTTGACCTTATTCCTTTGGAACATTTTGATCGACTTAATAATTAAGAGAACAAATTAGAGCCTAAAACTTATTTTATTAGATCTATTTACAATATTAGTAATTGTACCTGTGTCTTTGTCCTTGGCTTTATATACTTGGCCATAGGTTCCTTCTCCAATAATCCCAATAATGTCAAATTTATCCACACATCGCTTCCCCCAATCACTTTCTGTTTGTCTTCTTTCTCCATAACGAGGACAACAAATTCTAAAAAGAAAATCAGTAAAAACTGTTACTTTTAGCCATTAAGTGACTGGCAAAAATAAATATCCCTCCTCCTCCTCGGCATGGTAGTATCTTTTATCTTCTTTTTTTTTTAAATTATTATTACTACTCCAGACAGGATCTCCCTAGGTAGCTTGGTCTGTAGACCAAGCTGGCCTTAAACTAAAGAAATCAACCTGCCTCTACCTCACAAGAGCTGAGATTAAAGTCATGCAGTCTCTGTGAATTCCAGGTCAGCCAGGGACACACAGTAATATCCTATCTCAACAACAAAAATGTTAGCTATGTTGCTTGATGGTTTGGATTAAGAATGACTCCCATAGGTTCTTATACTTGAATGCTTAGTCATCAGGCACAGGAATTCTTTGATAGGATTAGAAAGATTAGGAGGTATGGCCTTATTGAAATAAGTATATACTAGAGGTAGGCTTTGAGGTTTCAAAAGCCCAAGCCAGGCCCAGTGTCGCTACCACTATCTGCTTATGGATCAGGATGTAGCTCTCAGAATGGTGTTTACATGCTACCATGCTCCCAACCATGGTAAATGGATTAAATGTCCGAAATTACAAACAAGCTGCAAGATAAATGGTTTCTTTCATAAGAGCTCCATCAGAGTAACTTTTCAAAAAAGTATGCAGGGTTGCCTACATGCCAGAAGAGGGCACCAGATGGTTGTGAACCACCATTTGGCTGCTGGGAATTGAACTCAGGACCCCTGGAAGTGCTCTTAACCTCTGAGCCATCTCTCCAGTCCCTGAGTAACTCTTCACAGCAGTAAAACAGTAACTAAGATGGATATATGGAGGATAAGCATCCTTCCAAAGACTGTTTTCCCACAAAATTGAAATAATTAGCTCTCACTTCTATGAGTTGGGGAAGTTGTATACATTTTAGATTTAAAATGAGTCAGTATACTCTTTAATAAGAAGAAACCCCCTGCCGGGCGGTGGTGGCACACGCCTTTAATCCCAGCACTCGGGAGGCAGAGGCAGGTGGATCTCTGTGAGTTTGAGGCCAGCCTGGTCTACAGAGTGAGTTCCAAGACAGCCAGGACTGTTTCACAAAGAGATTCTGACTTGAAAAATCAAAAGAGAATCCTAAGATGCTGGTGAGATGGCTCTGCCATGGACAGGGTTGAAATCCCAGCACCTACATAATGGCTTAAAACTGACTGTAACTGCAGTCACAGGAGATCAAGCACCCTCTTTTGGTCTCCTGTGGTAAAAGGCATGTTATTTAAGGCACAGACATTCATATACATAAAATATAAAAATTATACATCACTGCTGGGTGGTGGTAGCACACACCTTTAATCCCAGCTCTCAGGAAGCAGAGACAGGAGGATCTCTGAGTTCCACACCAGCTTGGTCTACAAGAGTTCCAGGACAGCCTCCAAAGCCACAGAGAAAAAAAAATATAATTATACATCCCTAACAAACTTACTTTGGGTCTGGCGTTGGTGGCTCATGCCTTTAATCCCAGCACTGGGGAGGCAGAGGCAGGCGGAGCTCTGTGAGTTCAAAACAGCCTGGTCTACAGAGTGAGTTCCAGGACAACCTTCAGAACAATACAGAGAAACCCTGTCTAGAAAAACCAAAAGAAACTTACTTTGGTCTCTTTTTATATGGTTGTTGAGGTGGTGTAATTGCCTTTGGCTCTGGAGAATCTGGGGGAGATGGATCTCCACCTGGTAGCTCAGGAGGAAGAGGCAAGTCTGTGAGTAAATGGCGGGTCCTCTGTTCCTTCTCTTTCTTTGCAGGCTTTGAAGGAAGCATTTCTTTTGGACTAAACAGAGATGAGAGTATAAAAAGGTTACTCACAGACTATGTAAATAAAGCTTTAAAAGAACACTATAATGACCAACTATCAAAAAGATTAAGATTTTACTTCTGGAAGTTAAGACAAATGGCTCAGTGACTAAGAGCACCAGTGGCTCTTTCAGAGACTGTGGTTCAATTCCTAGCACCCACATGACAGCTCACAACTGTCTGTAATGACAATCCCAAGTAACACCATATCCTCTTTTGACTTCTGTGGGAACCAGACACACACATGGTGCACATACATAAATGCAGGCAAAACATTCATATCCATAACTACAATCTTTAAAAATAGAGTAAAAAGTTGCCAGGCGGTGGTGGCCTTTAATTCCAACACCTGGGATGCAGAGGCAGGCAGATCTTTGTGAGTTCAAGGCCAGCTTGGTCTACAGAGCTAGTTCCAGGACAAGCAGGGTTACACAGAGAAACCCTGTGTTAAAAAGTTAGAAACCCTGTATTAAAAAGTCAGAACTTACTGAAGTGTATTAGCTACTTGAATAATATAACCAATTTATTAAAGAGCATGATTTGGTGTTTTCATTTTATGAAATATTACCATTTCTTTAAGCATTGTGAATATTGCTATTTTGTAATGTGTGAAATACACTTAATATACTAATATTTGAGTTTTATTTTATTAAATTTTTTTTGTTTTTCAAGACAGTGTTTCTCTGTGTATCAGTTCTAGTTGTTCTCGAACTAGCTCTGTAGATCACCACGCTGGTCTTGAACTCACTTACTATTTATTTTTATATTTGTGTCTGTGCACTACATGTATTCAATGATTGCAGAGGCCAGAAGAGGGCATCAGATAACCTGGGACTGTTGCTACAGATGGAAAGTAAACTGCCACATGGGTGCTAAGAATTGAACCCAGGTCCACTGTAGGAGCAGTCAAAGCCCTAAACCTCTGAGCCATCACCAGCCCTTACCAGGTGCCAGACCCTGAGTTAAATACCCAATACACGGTAGGAAGGGGAACGAAGGTTCTAAATTTGGTGAAGTATAGGCAGGAGAAGCAGATATTAAAAGAGGCCAGCCTCAACTACACAGCAAATTGGTTTTTTTTTTCTTTTTTCTTTTTGGCTTTTCAAGGCAGCATGTTCAACCACCCTAGTTCCCTAGTTGTCCCAGAACTCTCTCTGTAGACCAGACTGGCCTCAAACTCTCAGAGATCCACCTGCCTCTGCTTCCTAAGTGCCACCACTGCCCAACTTAAACTTAAACAGCAAGTTGAGGCCTGCTATATTTGATCCCATTTCAATATTTACAACAATGCAAAAAACCCTATGGCACCCCTGAAATAAAATGTACGAAGCAAGTTCTGCAATTAATGAAATTTACTCTTTAACAAAAGGTAACTTTCTCTGTAACAAAATATTTAAATAAAAGAGGCCAACAATTTAACAGTTTGATTACTAAAGACTTAAATACTCAGAAAAAGGAAATACTATATCAAAAGTGTTTTACAGCTAATTTGATATCAAAACTACCGAAAAATATGTAAGTACTTTTAGTATTTTTTTCTGTTTTGAAAAGCATTTTTTCTCTCTCTCTCTCTCTCTCTCTCTCTCTCTCTCTCTCTCTCTCTCTTTTTTTTTTTTTTTGTTTTACGAGACAGGGTTTCTCTGTGTCTTTGGAGGCCATCCTGGAACTAGCTCTAATAGTTCTATCAACTCCTGGCTTAAAAAGCATTTTTATGCATCAGAAAATATATATTATATGTATTAATACATATGTATTAATAAAAGCATAAATTACAATAATTACTACTGTATAAAAAGGAAGGACTTTGTCAATTCTTTTTTTTCTCTCTTTTTTAAAAGATTTATTTATTTATTAATTATGAATACAACATCCTGCCCCCATGTCTGTCTGCAAGCCAGAAGAGGACACCAGATCTCATTACAGATGGCTGTGAGCCACCATGTGGTTGCTGGGAATTGAACTCAGGACCTCTGGAAGAGCAGTCAGTGCTCTTAACCTCTGAGCCATCTCTCCAGCCCATCAATTATTCTTGAAAGATATAGTTTACTGTCTTTAAATTTTTTAAACTTGATTCTTTTTCATTGATTACATTTTTAAAAACACAGGTTCACAGTGTGAACCAAATTCCTTTTCTTTGTTTATTTATTTATTTATTGGTTTTTCGAGACAGGGTTTCTCTGTATTGTTTTGGAGGCTGTCCTGGAATTTGCTCTGTAGTCCAGGCTAGTCTCAAAATCAGAGATTCCCCAGACAGCCTCTGCCTCCCGAGTGCTGGGATTAAAGGCGTGTACCACCACTGACGGCCCAAATTCCTTTTTAAAGATTCATTTTTTTTTATTTTATGTGTGAGTGTTTGCCTGAATATATGTGTGTGCACCATGCACATGCCTGGTGTCCACAGAGGTCAGTAAAGGGTGCCAGATTCCTTGTGACTGGAGTTACATATGGTTGTGAGCCACCATGTGGATGTGGGGAATCAGACCTGGGTCCTCTGGAAAGGCAACCAGTGCTCTTAACTGCTGAGCCATCTTGCCAATCCCTGCAACATTTTTTAATAATAAAGTTGAAAATAAATTTTAAAGGAAAAAATTAATGTTTGTACTCAGCCTTTTTCCTTTTCATATAGTCCAAGATCCTGACCCAGAGAATGGTGCCACCCGCAGTGACTAGACCTTTCTACCTCAATTAACATAAACACCATAATCCCTCATAGGCCAAACTTCAATGATCTTTGACCACACAAAATGAGAACTCTCAAACTAAAAAGGCAAAAATGTTCAAGCAGCTATTTCAGACTTACTAAGGCTCTGACAGGACTCACATAAACTAGCAAATCATAGTAGTCAGTCTTCTAGAAATCAGAAAACTAGTCAAATTTTAGATCTTTTTGCTTTTTTTGAGACATACTGTCAATATGTATTTCTGACTGACCCTGAATTCTCTCCCACCAATCCTCCTCCCTCAGCTTCCTGTGTACTAGGATTATAGATATGTGCTAAAGCCTGGTAAATCCAAAATTTAAAATATATTTCAAAACTGTGTATGTGCACACACACACTTATGTATGCTTTTGGGTATATACATGTGAAATTATGTGCTCAAGCAGACCAAGTGTCAGATTCCCTGGAGCTGGAGTTAAGAGGGGTTGTGATTTACTGGACATGGGTGCTAGAGACTGAATTTGGGGCCTCTGCACGAGCAGCAAGTATCTCCAACTGCTAATCAATTTCTTCAGCCCCACATCCCTAACAACATATCTGTCAGATTTATTCATCTGAGTACTTTGCCTGCACATACGTCTATGTACCACATGTGTGCCTGGTACATGAGGAAGTGGTGAGCCTTCATGTGGGTGCTAGGAATTGAACCCTGATCCTTAGTAAGAGTAAGTGCTGTTAAAGATGGTCCCCACAGCAGGTCGGTGGTGGCACAGTCCTGGAACTGGCTCTTGTAGACCAAGCTCGAACTCACAAAGATCCACCTGCCTCTGCCTCCCAAGTGCTGGGATTAAAGCCATGCTCCACCAACGCCCGGCCCATTACTACTCTTAAGAATTAAATATGTTCTTAAGAATTAAAAAGAAAAAAAAGAGAGAAAAGAGGAAAAAAAAGAAAATAAATTTCTATAAAAAAAAAAAACAAGAATTAAAAAGAAAGAAGAAAGCAGTCACAGGTGGATTTGCCTACCTCAGCCTATGCCTCCCAAATGCTGGGACTAAAGGCATGCACCAAAACTGCCTGGTTAAGACAGGGTTTCAATAGACCCAGCTTTCCTAGAACTCACTATGTAGACCAAACTGGCCAACTCAGAGATCTGCCTGCTTCGGGCTCCTAAATTTTAGGCAGTGGGTGACTGCTGAGGAACAAAACTCAAGGTTGACTTCCAGTTTCTGTTTGCACACCTGAACTCACATATATGCATGCACCCACAAAGAATCATCACCCAAATTACACATAAAAGTTTGAAAACAGGTTTGCAATTTAACATAAGCAGTACTTACTTTTCTATTTACCATGAAGTTCATGACAGTAAATGCAATTCATCCCCTAGAAGAGGGTAAGATCTCAACAGAAAAGCCAGTAAGACTATACTTCAATACCATGTCCCTGTCTAAAGCATATCTGTTTGGAGGTCTTGTTCAGCTAGTATGGCCAATAGATTAAAAATACCTTGCATAATGTCATTTATGAGATTCATACTTCATACTTCATAATCATTTCAATAATCAACAAAGTACTCATTAAAATTTAAGATCTTCCCATCATCCCATTCTGAGTTACAGTCTAATTAGCAAAGATTTTTTTAACTATAGGATAGGTGATTTTTAAAAATTGTATCACCTGATGGGCATTGGTGGCACATGCCTTTAATTAGATCACTTGGGAGGCAGAGGCAGGCAGATTTCTGTGGGTTCAATGCCAGCCTGGTCTACAGAGTAGGTTCCAGGACAGGCTCCAAAGCTACAGAGAAACCCTGTCTCCAAAAACAAACAAATAATAATAAACTGTCACTCAACAAAGTTTCTATACATATTAAAATATTACAAAAAGAAAACAGCTGGCAAGATGGCTAGGTGGGTAAAGATACTTGCCATGACACACACATATACGCTTAAAATTAAAGATATGGGGGAGAAATGTCATTATGTTAAGACCTGAGGTATCAGGGTGCCCTCTGGTCTCCAATGCATACATAAATAATAATAGTTCTTAGGCCTGAAAAGATGGCTCAGGGGTTTAAGAGTGATTATTGCTCTTCCAGAGGACATGGTGGTTCTTAGCACTCACATGACAGCTCACCAACACAACTACAGTTCTAAGAGATCCAATAACCTCTAGCCTACACTCTCCCATCCATGTGGTGTACATATATTCATGAAGTCTCATAGACATACATATTAAATAAACAAAAAATATTCAACAGTAAAGTTAGGGCTGGAGACATGGCTGAGTAATTAAGAGCACTTGCTACTCTTCTGGAGGACTTGAGTGCAGTTGCCACACGGAAGCTCTGAACCATCCATATTTATTCCATGGGATCCATCACCATCTTCTGACCAAATAGTACACATACATATGTGGAGGCAAAATAGTCATACATGTGCACACACACAAAACAAAAAATCTAATTCTTGTCAGGTATAGTGGTGCATGTCTATAATCCCAGCATTCAGGAGATTGAGGCAGGATTGCTATGAGTTTAAGGTTACCTGAGACTATATAGTGAGTATAACAAGACCCTATACCCCCACCCAACCCCAGAAAGTGTCCATCAAGATAGTTTCACAGGTAAACACACTTGCCACCAAGCTGGATGCTTGATCTCTGGGACCCACACAACAGAAGAAGAGAACTGATTCCCACCAAATTTTCCTCTGGCCTCCACACTAAGACACAGTATACACACTCAAAAATAAGGTAATTTTTAAAATGAAAGGAAAAAACCCAGCCGGGCATTGGTGGCGCACGCCTTTAATCCCAGCACTTGGAAGGCAGAGGCAGACGGATCTCTGTGAGTTGGAGACCAGCCTGGTCTAACAAGAGCTAGTTCCAGAACAGCCTCCAAAGCCACAGAGAAAAAACAATAAAGAAAGAAAGAAAGAAAGAAAGAAAGAAAGAAAGAAAGAAAGAAAGAAGGAAGGAAGGAAGGAAGGAAGGAAGGAAGGAAGGAAGGAAGGAAGGAAGGAAAGAAAGAAAGAAAGAAAGAAAGAAAGAAAGAAAGGAAAAAACCCTCAAAGTTATAACTCTTTACTCTCAAGCAATACATGAATGAGCTTTTCCACTAAAAACCAAAAAAGCAATTCCTATTCCTAACCATAAAAACACCCTGAAAAGACATGCATTCTAACAGCTCAAAAAACCGTAAAAAGAAAATGCATCATAGATCAAGAAGACTAACTTCTTAGTTACAGGACTTACCTATCCATATCATCATCTCCAGGTAACAAGGGAGGGAGGGGCAGAGGAGGCAATGTTGAAGTTTTCAGGTGTGGAATAGCAGCTGTTACAGATACTTGAGTCTTCACAGAAACCTGTACAGGGGGCTGAGAATTTGTCTGAGAGGATAGAGTAGATGTCCTTGGGTGAGGAGATGAGGGCATAATTGAAGTACTAGAAACAGGAACTTGACTAAATGGTGGTTGGGGAGGAGGCAGAGGTGGCTGCAGTGGGGTAGCTGGTAGTGGAGGCAAAGGTGGCAGAGGGGGTGTCTGCGGTGGAGGGGTAGTAGACGGTAAAGGGGGTGGAGAAGTAACTGTGAGGAGAGGTGGAAGGGTCTCCTTTTCTGATGTCTCTGTCTCCTTTGAAGTAACAATCGCTTCCTTTAGTGCTACAGGTTTAGTGTCTTTTGTTCCCTGTGCTTTCAAATCCTTAACAGGATGCTTCTGCAAGTTCTCATCCAACTTAACTTTCCCTGAATCTAAACAATTTTTTACCTCTGCGTTTGAATGTGCTACATTTACCAGTTCAGTATCTGGGGTAGATTTTTCTGACTTTATACCTCTGGGTAACTTTTTACACTCTAACCCTGACTCCTTCAACTCAACTTTATCTTTTTTAGTCAAAGTTATAGGTGAACCCTTGGAATCTTTTCCATCCATCTTTGCTGCTGCGGCAGCAGCTGCTCTTTCCTTCTTTTTTCTACTGAGTTCTGCTCCCAGGCTGGAATTCAATGGAAGCCTGACAGGTGAGATACTGGAATGGCGGCTGCGTGACCCGGATCTCTTCTTTTTACTATGAGAAGAAGAGTGTCTTGAATATGCAGGACTTCTGCTTCTGGACTTCATGGATTTCCTACTGAAAAAAGAAAAAATAGAGTTTAAATAAACAATATACAGAGACTTAAAGAAGACAATAGGTTAGCAAAAGAACAGGGTCTAGATCTGTAAATTTAATCCCACTCTAGTTATCGATTTTAAAAGTAGATTAAAGCCAGGCATGGTAGCATACTCCTCTACTCCTAGCACTTGAAAGGCAGAGGCATAAGAACATGAGCTCAAGACAGCTTACTGTTGGGAAAAAAAAAAGGCAAGAGACTGAGCACTCAGTATGAACCACACAGACCTAGTTCCAAAACAAAAAGAGATGGTTTCGGTGGTTAAATGGGCACTAATCTAGCAAAGGACCCAAGTTTGGTTCTCAGCACCCACATAGGGCAGAACCACCTGTAACTCAAGATCTGGGAATCTAGAGCCTCTGGCCTTCATGAGCATATATGCACACAATCACATACATAATTTAAAATAAAAATAAGCCTTAAAAAAGAACTATCTGGCCGGGCGTTGGTGGCACACACCTTTAATCCCAGCACTCATGAGGCAGAAGCAAGTGGATCTCTGTGAGACCAACCTGGGCTACTGAGCAAGTTCCAGGACACAAAGCCACAGAGAAACCCTGCCTCAAAAAATCTTTGCCTGTGTTTCTGAAAGAACACCATGTCTGAGCCCAGTGTCAATGGAGTTCAGAGGAGGGCATCAGAATCCCTGGGACTGGATTTAGAGATGTTTGTGAGTCATTATATGGACACCAGGAATGTTCATCTGGAAGAACAACCAGTGCTCCTAATCACTGAGTCAACATTTCAGCCCAACTTTCCTAAATTTTAACTATGGTACTACTTTACAGCCTTAGTTTATTATCAAGTTGTGTCTATAGGAAACAAATGCCCAATATACAAAATTTAAAAATCTTAAAACTAGCCGGGCGTTGGTGGTGCACGCCTTTAATCCCAGCACTTGGAAGGCAGAGGCAGGCGGATCTCTGTGAGTTGGAGACCAGCCTTGTCTACAAGAGCTAGTTCCAGGACAGCCTCCAAAGCCACAACCCTGTCTCGAGAAACCAAAAAAAAAAAAAAAAATCTTAAAACTATAACAGTTCTTGGTATCTTTTTTACTTTTAGGTACTGAAGACTGAACTCAAGGCCTTCCATCTGCTAAGGAAACAGCCTACTACTACTGATCTATACTATTAGCAGCCCTAACACGTCTATCTTTTAGTGTTCTGAGACAAGATTTTGTTACACAGACTAAGCTGGCCTAATAATCATGATGTCTTAGTCTCCTAAGTGTTGGTTGATATTAAAGGTCTTACTTAGTTCCTTTAAAAAGAAAATTAATTTCCAATCAAGTTTTTAGGACATGTAAGACAAGAAATTACTACATGCACAAATTAACTTGCTTTGTTTTTGAAATGGGATCTTACAGTGTAGCTCTGGCTGGCCTGAAATTTGACATGTAGACCAGGCTGGCTTCAAACTATGCCCAGCTACAGTTAATGTTCTTAACAACTAAACCATTTTTCCAGTCCAACAAAATTTTTATGAGGAATGACTGTGAAATAAAATCTGGAAATCTAGCCAGGAGGTGGTAGCCCACACCTTTAATCCCAACCCTTAGGAGGCAGAGGCACGCACATCTGTGAGTTCCAGGCCAGCCTGTCTGGGGTGTTAGGGGAGAATCTGGAAATCTTTAGGAAAGGTTATTTTAAAGTCTCAATAATTATTTTTTTACTCATTAATTACTTTTTACTATAGCATTTGTTCCACCCATGACCTTGAGCTATCTGGCCTGATAGAGATGGTGCTTGCCTGCCTACAAGACCTCTTATATGGAAGGACAAAGGAGGTCTTGATCTCTTGGGTGGTGAAGACCAGGTCAGGCAGCATGCAGCAGTGGATGATAGGCCCCCAGCTTTCCAAGGACTCTGCAACTGGATTTACCATATTCTGTATTCGTGAATATATTTTCCCCTTTCATATCTTAATAAATCCTTGATAAACCTTAAACAGACACAAATGGATTTCTCATTACAATCCTGCTCAAGATTCAGTGTGAGGGGAAAAAAAAATCAACAATCCAAACCAATAAAACTGACTACAGCCAAGCATTATGGTCCATGCTTTAGTCCCAGCACTTGTGAAGAGGTACACAAATCTCTGTGCATTCAAGGCAGCCTGGTCTGCATAAGACCCTGTCAGGTCAGGTGGTGGTGGCACTTGGGAGGCAGAGACAAGTGGATCTCTTTGAATTTAAGGCCATTCTGGTCTACAAAGTAAGACAGTCAGAGATACACAGTGAGAAAAAAAAAAGGTACTGGACCTGACTGTTGTGGCAAACACCTTTAATTATAGTATTAGAGAGACAGAGGCAGGTGAAATCTCTGAGCTCAAGCACAAGACTGGTTTACATACAAGACTACAGTTAGACCTTATCAAGGATAAAGCTGGGTGTAGTGGTCCATGCCTTCAATTTCAGTAACAGGGAAGCAGAGGCAGGTGAATCTGAGTTCTAGGCCAGCCTAGTCTACTTGGTAAGCACTTACTTAACACACAAAAATCCCTGAATTCATTCCCAAACACTGAGCCACAACCAAAATGGTACTTGTTCCCAGTTTCTTGTTTTTCCCAAATGAAGAGTGTCTACCACAGAGTGCCAGGACAGCCAGGGCTACAGAAAGAAACCTTGTCTTGAAAAGCCAAAAAAAAAAAAAAAAAAAAAAGATTGAATATAGGGCCTAGGGCCTAAGTATACTTTGTAACCTGAATTATATAACCAGCCCTCTTTTTGAAAGGGGAAGAGGTCTTTTCAATTCTTATATCAGCATGCTGATTTCGGCATAAGTCTTTAATCCCAGCACTATGGAGGAAAGAGGCAGCCTGGTCTGTAAAGCAAGTCCCAGGACAGCCAGTACTACATAGAGAAACCCCATGGGGGCTGGGGGGGGGCTGCAGATATAAATAAATAGTTTTTTTAATATTATTGTGCATGGCCGGGCGGTGGTGGCGCATGCCTTTAATCCCAGCACTCAGGAGGCAGAGGCAGGCAGATCTCTGTGAGTTCGAGGCTGGGCTGGACCGACAGCCTCCAAAACAATACAGAGAAACCCTGTCTCGTAAAAAAAAAAAAAAAATTATTGTGCATGTATATGATCTGTGGAGGTTGGAGAGTAACTGAGGATCAAACAGGTATTTAGCCATTTTGTCAGCCCATTCATTGTGTCTTTTTGAGACATGATTTCAAATAGCGCAGGCTGGCCTCAAAATAAAAATTCACTTGGTGCCAGCGGTGGTGGCACACGCCTTTAATCAACCAGCACTAGGGAGGCAGAGGCAGGTGGATCACTGTGAGTTCGAGACCAAGCCTGGTCTACCGAGGGAGTTTCAGGACAGGCTCCAAAACAATACAGAGAAACCCTGTCTCGAAGAAAAAACAACAACAACAACAAAAAAATTCACTTGGTAAACTTCTCAAAACACTGGAATTATGGATGTATGCCAGGCTGCTCAGGTTCCAATTTAATTTTTTTTTTTTTGCTATTTACTGTTGTGAATTCCAATATATAAAATTATGTAATATATGGGAACAAATAATGCTTTCTAGAAGCAAATAAAAAAAGTGCATGTTTCCAATATTTTATATTTGCATCCCCCACTACTATACTGTCTCCACTTCCTCTGGGTTTACGTCTGCCATCACTGCATTAATTTCAATTAAGGAAGACAACTTGATATCTGATATTTTCTCTAAGAATCTATCTAAAAGGAATGATTTCAAGACAAAAGCTCTCGATCAAAATCCTGTTTTAGCTTTTTATATTTCTAAATTCAACAATAAATTTTTTTTCATATAACCTTGCTAGCCTTAATGTTAACACTCTCAAGAAAACATTCTGCCTAGTATTATCTGTCTATAACCCAACAGTCAAAAGGTAAGGCAGGACTGATGGAAATTCCAGGTCAGTTTGAAATGGGCTAGTCTACATAGCCAATTTCAGGTCACCACAGATTACAGTGTGAAATCCTGTCTAAAAAACACAAAATTCTGAGAATACTTTTTTTGTTGTTGTTTTTTTTTGTTTTTCGAGACAGGGTTTCTCTGTGGCTTTGGAGGCTGTCCTGGAACTGACTTTGTAGACCAGGCTGGCCTCGAACTCACAGAGATCCACCTGCCTCTGCCTCCCAAGTGCTGGGATTAAAGGCGTGCGCCACCTACGCCCGGCCCTGTGAATACTTCTTAGATTCCCTTTGAAAACTATGCAACATTACAAATGGTACATTTACGACTTATGTATTCTATTATGTTTAATAATATCTCCAAAAAATTATAAACTCTAAGAAATGGTATACATGCTAGATGTTTACAAAAGTATGCTGTTTGCTACTACTTTGAGATGAATCTAACAAACAAAAGATGTACTAATGGAGATAAACAGATGTGACAAAATGTTAATTGCAAAATTTAGGTGTTAGCTACATGCATGTTTATTATAATTCTTTCAACCTATGTTTGAATTTTTAAATTATAGAATGAGAAAATACTAAGACAACTTAAGCACAGTAGTTAGGCAAATACACTTAAATTGTAAGTATCTTTAAGGCAGTGAAATATACACTGACTTATAAAACACATGCATGAACTAATTTTTACCAGTGGTCTTCACTCATAAAATGTACTGAGTCATACTATGTACCAAGACACAGTAACATGCTTCATATTTATTAATCTTCACAACTGCCTTGAAGTAGGCAGTTTTTATTCCTATTTTCCACATGAAGAAACTCAGGTACGAACAAATTAAATCATTTGCCAAGGATTACAAGGAAACACTAAGATTCCACTCAAATAAAGTTAAAGCTCTAGTTGTTTCTGTGGACAGAGATGGATCCACATATGAGACAAGAACTCAATTTTCCATAGACAATTTCAAATTGACAGATCTTTTTTATAAAAATACCAAACTGAAGGCATTAGTATCACATATTTCAAGGAAGATTTTGAAATTTGCTAGTGTCAACAAGCAGTGGTGCAGAAAAAAACCCAAAATACCAAAATAAAAATTCAACAAACTGCCGGGCATTGGTGGCACACGCCTTTAATCCCAGCACTCCGGAGGCAGAGGCAGGCGGATCTCTGTGAGTTCGAGGCCAGCCTGGTCTACAGAGTGAGTTCCAGGAGAGAAACCCTGTCTCGAAAAACCAAAAAAAAAAAAAAAAAAAAAAAAAAAATCAACAAACTGTCTTTTTTTTGGGGGAGGGCTAGTCTGTATGTCAAAAAGAAAACACTCTCACTAGCTCAATTTTCATTAAACAGTTACAAGACAGGGCTCTTCAGTAAGGTAACAGTGATAATTAAAGATCTGGGGACATATCTAGACAGAATTGGTAGGTTAACAGGCAAATGGACTCAAAATAACAGAAATGAAAGTTTATAATTTCTCAATTCTCTTATGAGTTCCAATAAGGTTTAAGCACTGGTACTAACATGACCCACAAAGTTTTAAGACAAAGCAACAAGTAGTTAAATTAAGTTTTGGAGACTATGCACTCCCTAAGCAGAAGGGTAATTTCTTACAACTGAAGATTTCCCACTATTGAAAAGTACCAACCTACCTTGCTTGAGCAGTTGGCGGCATGTGAAATCTTTACTTCTCAATTCTGGGTTAAGGAAAAGTCAGACTTACCTATATGACTAGCAAACCTAGTTAAAGCAAACTAACAAAATGTTATAAGGACTAACTGCCAATCCCTCCCAACCCACCCTACTTTAGGAAAGACAGGTAACAACAGCTCACCTGGGGATTGGACTCCGACTCAGAGACCTCTTGCTCAAGAAAGGGCTGCTAGATCGCCTTCGACTATAGGGGCTGGGCGATCTCCCGCTGTAAGAGCCACTCCTTTCATAACTGGATGACCGTCTCCTGCTATAGGGACTCACAGACCTCTGTCGTCGGCTGTAGGGGCTGGGTGACCGAGTGCTGGACTGGTAAGCAGAAGGCTCTTTGTAAGGTGGACTGATTGACTGCCTTCTTGAGGTACCGCCAGGACTCTTCTTGTAGGAGTCATAATTGCTAGAAGTGTGAGACCTTGGGGGGCTAAGGTCATAGTCTTGGCCGTAAGAAGCTCCCGAAGGACTGTCATCTTGCTTGGAGCTGTCAGACCATTTCCTATGGGGACTCCTTGATCTCCGTTTTGGGCTATCCACCGTTTTGTAACTTTTGGGTGTTTCCCTTTTCCGATGACTTTTACTCCGGTCCTTGTGCCCAGACTTTAACTCACGTTCTTTCCGCGTCTTCTCCTTGTGGAGTTTGGATGACCTGGATTCCTTGCTGCTGCTTTTGGATATTTGTGCCTTCCCATAGTCATCGCTCCCCTCCACTGATCGCTTTGAACTTCCTGATATCCGGTCCTTCATTGATCCAGATTTGGAAACTTCCTGGTTTTTTTCTTTTTCGGTCTGCTTAGTTTTTAGCAAGTCTCGGGACCGCCGGTGCTGGTGGTGACGATGTCTGTGCAGGCGGTCACTCCGATCCGTTCCACGACGCTCATCGTTTTCCCTCCTGTCTAATTTGAAGGCCATGTCATCTGAGAAGGTGTCTGAATCAGAGCTGATGTCATCATACTCCACCAAAGGTTTGATTACTGTACCCAAAGATGCTGCTTCGGGGGTCACCAACCCCGTATCTTTGGAGTGCTTGGACTTATGCCGCTTGTGCTTCGACACCAAGCGGTGACGCTCCCTGCTGTTGGAGCTGCCACCTCCCGATGACGGCTGCGAAGTTCCAGAAGCTCCTCCACTCCCGTCCTTCTTGCCCCCATGTCTCTCTGAATTGGGCATTCCCTTTCCCCGAGCCTCAAGAAGGGGAAAAGTTCCCCAGCACTCCAAGGAGCCCCACCCTCCCCCCAGCCCCAACTCCACGCCCACCAAAAGAACCCCTAAAAGGGGGTGGGGAGGGAAGGGACTTTAGGCCAGGCTCCTCCTCCCTCTCGACTCCTCGGCGCCCTCCTACATGAGGTGGGGGGTGAAGGAGCGAGGGAAGAAATGATAGAGTTCCTCAGCAGTGGAAGAGCGAGGCACCCGGAGCTGCCCGAGTCCGCTCCTCCCCGCTGCCCACCCGCGCCGACCACTCTTCAGGCCCGCGAGCCCGGGAGCTCAAGGAAGTAGGAAGCCGACCGCCCGAGCCTGAGGGGCCGACTCCGGCTCTGGCGCCCTGTGAGGACTGCGCGGGCCCTTCCCCTACCCGGCTGCCCGGCTCGGGGCGGCTTCCTGTCGCCCGGGCTCCGCGGCCTATGTTTCCTCACCTCCCCTTTTGTCCCTCGTCCTGAGGGAGCCTCTTTTCTAGCCTCCGCCTCACCCCAATACCTCACATACACATTTCGCTCCCTCACACAGACTCAGTCACACACTAGATTAAACCGAAACGGCACTTGGCGGAGGGGGAGGGGCGAGCGTCAGAAGTCTCGCGAGATTCCACTGGACTCCCGCGATACTTCGTGCTTCCTTTTTACCTCGACCCATTGCTTCTCCAGACAACGCGAGAACAGGACCCAAGGCACAAACACGTCCCGTTAGGCTCTCGCGATAAGTCTCCAACTCCCCTTTTGAGAGCTTTATAAAAGCGGAAGTTGCCGAGATTACCTTGAAAACTTAAACCTAACTGGTGGCTCATTGGGTAAATACTGCCGAGTTCTGGTGGAGACGGATCTTACCACACTTTTAAGAAGGATCTTGAGCCGAGCGTTGGTGGCGCACGCCTTTAACCCCAGCACTAAGGAGGCAAAGGCATTCGGATCTCTGTGAGTTCGAGGCCAGCCTGGTCTACAGAGTGACCAGGACAGCCTCCAAAGCCACAGAGAAACCCTGACTCGAAAACCAAAAAGAAGGCTGTTGATTATCAGGATTTTTTGGTTTTTCGAGACATTTCCTTGTGTAGCTTTGGAGCCTGTCCTGAAACTCTGTGGATCAGGCTGGCCTCTGCCTCCCGACTTCTGGGATTAAAGGCATGCTCCACCAACGCCCATCTTTTCAGATTTTTTTTTTAAACAACGGACAGGTGAACGGTGAACGTTGGAAACATTACAGCTGATGTCTGAATGTTTAAACAAAGCTTGCTACTAAGTGCCACGCATATTGAATTTATTTTCTCTGCCCTCACAATTAACAACTCTGAGTTCGAGGCGAGCCTAGTTTACAAAGTGAAGTCCAGGAAAGCCAGGAGTACACAGAGAAACCCTGTCTCCAAAAACCAAACAAACAAACAAAACTAACCAACCACTGGACATTGTCTTCCCTAAAGTTTTTTAAAATTATTTATTACACATAGTTTTTTTTAATCTGTGTACATGCATGTACCCCAGGAGAAGGCATCAAACCTCATTACAGATGGCAGTGAGTGACCATGTGGCTTGTTGGGAATGGAACTCAGGACCTCTGGAAGAACTCTTAACCTCTGAGCCATCTCTCCAGCCCCTTCCCTGTGATTTTACAGGCAAAGAATCCCAAGAGTCAGAGAAGTTAGTTTAGGGGCAGAAAAGTTAGTGCAGAGTCCAAAGGAAAGTCACTTTACAGTCCAGGCTGGCCTCAAAATTGTGGCTATTCAGCCTCAGCCACCCTATGCTGGAATTACAGGGGTGATCTTTTTTTCCTGAACCTTTACAGTTACATCTGTATTTTTTGTTTTAATTTCTATACATTCTTTTATTTTTTTGTTTCTGAGATAGGGTCTCCCTATGTAGCCTGATTGTCCAGGAACTCACAAAGATTGGATGAAATGTCTCTGCCTGAGTGCTGGGGATTAAAGGTCTGTGCCTCCGCGCCTCCCTTTCACACGCTTTAAATATATTTAAATGTCGATTAAACAAGTGAGCTAGGCACAAAGGGTATATGAAGCTAGTAATGGGTGGAAACGGTTCTCAATCTCTGAATGCTTTGCTTAAGTCCACATTAGGAAGACCTTTTTTTCTGGAGACAGGGTTTATCTGTGGAGGTTTTTAGACCAGGCTGGCCTGGAACTCACAGAGATCTACCTGCCAATGCCTCCCGAGTGCTGGGATTAAAGGCATGCACTACTGGTCACATTATGAAGACCTTTTAAGAAAGGTATTAAAAGTCAGTTTAAGACAGGCACGCTCTTAATCCCAGCACTACAGTGGCAGAGGCAGGCAATCTCTATAAATTGGAGGCCAGCCTCGTCTTTAAATCTAATCCAGGACAACCAAGTCACTATTGCACCAAAAAAACACATCTCAATCAAACAAAAGTCACTTTGAAGCCTGACATGGTAGAGCACACCTTTAAGCCCAGCACTCTGCAGTTTAAGGCAGAAGATCTCTGAGTTCCAAGCCATCCAGAGTTGTGTATTGAGATTCTAACTTAAAATGAAATTAAAATAAAAAATTAAGAAAAGAAAGAATTGACTTGACTGAATGGACTGTGAAAATTTTATACAAGAATAGGCTCTTTATCCTGAAAAGTTTAATTATCTGTGTGTAGCTTTGAAGGCTGTCCTGGCACTCACTCTGTAGACCAGGCGGGTCTTGAACTCACAGATCGGCCTGCCTCTGTCTCCCAAGTGCTGGGATTAAAGGCATGCGCCACCAACACCCAGTAAGATTGATGTTTTGAAGACTGGAGACATGGTTCAGCAGTTAAGAACACTGGCTCTTCTTCCAGAGGACCCAGGTTCAATCCCAGCATCCACATGGTAGCCACACCTGTCTGTAACTTCAGTTCCAGAACTTCTGACATGTTTACGTTTACACAGACACATGCAAACAAAACATCAATGAACATAAAATAAAAATGGAATAAGAAAAACAGAAGGGGCTGGAGAGATGGCTCACAACCATCTGTAATACGACCTGGTGCCCTCTTCTGGCCAGCAGACAGAACACAATATATACATAATAAATAAATAAACATTGTAAAAAAAGAAAAAATACTGATGTTTTGCCACCACAAAAGTCAAACTTCTCCAAAGAGAAGACAATGAAAGTCAAAAGCGATGGCTCTAAGCACATTTGAGCGGGAAGTAGTGTGAGCTCCCTCAGGGGAGTGTCCATCACACTGCACTTTTTTAGCAGATAAAATTCTATCCTAGGAAATCTTGTGTCCAAAATTTCTTTTTCCTTTTCCTTTTTTCTCTTCTCTCCTTCACACCCGCAGCCCATTTTCCTTGTCTTTCCTCATCCCCTCACCTCTCCTGGTGTCTTGGAGATGTTGTCCAGACTCCCCTGGCACTCACATTCATCTGCTCAAGTGTCAAAACACTGGGATTATAGGCATCTGTTACCATGTGTTCCTCTCAAATTTTTTTAAATACAAAATTTGTAAACTGGTCTAGAGAGCAAGCTCTAAGACAGCCAGAACTGTTACACAGAAAAACACAGAGCCGAAAAGTATGAAATTCCATGAATTGTCACACTAACCAGTGAGAAGAAAGAGTGTTTTCATAAAAAGAGAAGATTGCTCTCTGCCGGGCGTTGGTGGTGCACACCTTTAATCCCAGCACTTGGGAGACAGAGGCAGGAGGATCTCTGTGAGTTCGAGGCCAGCCTGGTCTACAGAGTGAGTTCCAGGACAGCCTCCAAAACAATACATAGAAACCCTGTCTCCAAAAAAAACAATAAATAAATAAAAGATTGATCTGAAAAATAAAAGGGAAAATAAGGATTGTTTCACTCTGCAGAAAAGCTTTGAACTCAGTGATTCAAGGAATGCTTCAGTTGCTTCACTGCACAGCCACCATAGGTGGTGTGCTAACTCTGTGGTGACAGTCAGAAAGTTTCTATTTTGATTATAAACAGATAGGAAACTATGTGGCTGGAAGATGACTTAGCAGAGCTACTCTTCCAGAGGACCAGGTTCAATTCCCAGCATCCACAAGGCAGTTCACAACTATTTGTAATTCCAGCTCCCGGGGATCTGACACCTCACATACATACACATTTAGGCAAAACACCAATGCACATCAAATAAAAATAAATAAATCATAAATTTTAAAAATAGATTATGGGCTGGAGAGATGGCTCAGAGGTTAAGAGCACTGACTGCTCTTCCAGAGGTCTTGAGTTCAATTCCCAGCAACCACATGGTGGCTGACAACCATCTACAATTCAATCTGGTGTATATGTAATAAATAAATAGAATCTTTAAATAAATAAATAAATAAAAAATAAAAATAGATTATACAGATAGATTTTTTTTTTTTTTTGGTTTTACGAGGCAGGGTTTCTCTGTATTGTTTTGGAGGCTGTCGGTCCAGCCCAGCCTCAAACTCACAGAGATCCGCCTGCCTCTGCCTCCCTAGTGCTGGGATTAAAGGCGTGCGCCACCACCGCCAGGCTTACAGATAGACATTTTAATTAAAGTTACAATAACTACCTCCACACACAAATAAACTTAATAATTTAGATTCTTGGTAGTAGGGTGTGCTATTTTTCAGTCAGGCTTACCTAAATGAAACTCACTTGTAACTGAGGCTAGCTGTAAAGTCCTTGCACTCCTCCCCCACTCTCCACTAGTTACTGAACTTACAGGTTTCAGTTAGTGTGCTTCCCCCACCCCCAGACAGGGTTTCTCTGTGATGTTTGGAAGCTGTCCTGGAACTCACTCTGTAGACCAGGCTGGCCTCGAACTCACAGAGATCCGCTTGCCTCTGCCTCCCAGAGTGCTGGGATTAAAGGCATGTGCCACCAACTCCCAGTTAGTTAGCATGCTTCTAAATTATTAATTTAATTTAGGTTTTAGTGACTCAGAAGTTAGGAGCACTGGCTGCTCTTTCAAAGGTCCTGAGTTCAATTCCCAACTACCACACGGTGGCTCACAACCATCTATAATGAGATCTGGTGCATTCTTCTGGTGTGCAGGAATACATATAGGCAGAACACTGTTACATAATAAATCTTTTTTAAGAAATTAGCTTTTAAAGCCGGGCGTTGGTGGCGCTCGCCTTTAATCCCAGCACTTGGGAGGCAGAGGCAGGCAGATCTCTGTGAGTTCGAGGCTGGGCTGGACCGACAGCCTCCAAAACAATACAGAGAAACCCTATCTCATAAAAACCAAAAAAAAATTAGCTTTTAGGTTTAAAGAGTTCTCTTAGGCCTGATGAGGTGGCACAGGAACTTAGAGATCTGCCTGCCTCTGCCTCCCCAGTATTGGGATCAAAGACATGCACCTCCATCTGGGTCTTATTCTGTGTTGGTTTTGAGACAGAATCTCAGGTACTGTACCGATGCCTCACAAGTAGCAGGGTCTGGCTTGGATGTTCCTGATTCTTACTTTCATCAACAGGTGTGCAACACCGAACCCGGCCAAGATATTCCTTGTGGATACCTTGATTACTTTTTCAGTGATGACAAACATTTATCTTTCTTCCTAGAATGACTTTTTAATGTTGTTTGAGACTATGGGGAAGAAGAGGAGGGTGTTTGCCTGGCACGGAAATTTTTATGCCTCT